ACATTAGCGGGCTTTTTGGCTAAAACCTGCCCATTGCAGACCTCCACTCTATACGCGATGAAATACAATTTGGGGGAAAACGCGTGCTTATACCCGATTTAGATTTATAAAAATTTGCTTGAAAAGAAACGGGCCCTAGAGCCATAGATTTTTGCTGAAAAAACTCAATTGTATATGAGATGAGTATGTATATATTCCCTATAAAGGGCCGGGTTAAATCGAGGCTGATAAACACTAAATATTTCCAAAAACTAATTGCTAACATTATACTTTAATGCAAAAGAATTGATATCTGAAAGACTTACAATCAACTTGGGTATATAGTAATTTCAACACAACAATTTAAAATAATAATAATTATAATAATTACTGTAAAATTTTTGTTTTAAAATTATAATAAAGTATAAAATGTGAGACCAACTGGTAAAAAAAATGTATATACATTATTTTATATAAGGCCACGTACAAAGTTCATTTTACTATTATATAAACCTGAAAATTTGTTTTAATTATCATATCAAGATATCTTATATATGCATCTAACTTTCATTAATGTAAAATAGTATCTTTTAGTTGGTTCAATATGGATTTAAGTATGAATTAATTTTTTTAAAAAACTATATAGATACTAATTTATTCTAAACAATTTTTTTTTTTTATCCTTGGCGTTAAGGAAGACGATTAAAATGTACGAATGCGATTTTCAAAAACAAATTTAAATATATATTAAATAGTTTAATTTGTATTTATTTTAAATGATAAAAATATAGGTATTTATATATTTTTAAAAAAATTGAAACATTCAATTATTTTTATACGATGTACACATACCATTTCATAATTATAAATAATGTAATGATTAACTAATAAATTTCGTAGTTAAATGACAACTAGGGGCTAAATAAATGACTTAAAAAAATATTTAAAAAAAAATGAACTTCCCTTCAATTCAATCATGTATATAACAAAATATTTACTTTAAGCATCAAATTATAATAATATATATATAACTTTTATACAAAGAGAGGAGTTGATTTTTCGACCCATCACTTTCATCTCTAACCATAGTGATTGACAATCTCTTATTGTCTTACACGCATATCATATAATATTGTCATAAGATATTGTGTATAATTAACTATATAATCTACTAATCTACATTATTTGATTGAAATTGGACATTATATAATGTTATATATATATACAATGTAAAAATACACAATTACAATATAATATTGTCATAAAATATTATGTATAATTAACTATATAATCTACTAATCCACATTATTCGATTGAAATTGGATATTATATAATGTTATATATATATAATGTAAAAATACACAATTAAAAACACTTTCAAATAACTAAAAATTAAAAATAAATTTCCATTCTCCTTGGCATTTCCAGTGATGACCAGGAATGTAGGCCAGCGACTATCATTATAAATATATGGACCATGACTTCCGTCTCAAGTAGACAAACAATGATATTATCCAAGCCTTTAAAAAAAAAGTCTTTTTCTCCACTCTCTAATCAATAGTAGATTCGAGATTATTAGCTTTAAATGACCAAACATCTTGAATAGTCTGATCTATAGGATTGCCTAACCCTGAGACTCCCTATATTTCGATAACATCGTCAATAAAATATTTTCCTTTAGAGCAAAGGATCTAGATCCCATTTCCTCCTTATAATTCTTTCATTTTTAAATTTATTTAGATGTTTTTTTTAAAAAATTATTCATTTAGCCTTTGGTTAGTATTATTTTTTACTCATAAACCTTTTACATATAAGATTGCTTTTTATAATTAAAATACATCGTTATAATTTTATTGCTATTCAAATACCTATATTATATAAAATTATCATTATAATAAAATAATATTTGATTATATAAAAAAAAATTTGTTATTTGAAAAATTTTTAGTACAAAAAAGACTTAGTAAATAATTAAAAAAATATATCAATTTAATTTAACATTAACAACACTAGTTAAATCATATTCTCGTTCCAAACCCATTGGTATTCCAACTTATGGGTTTCTACTGTCTTATAAATATAATAATTATTAATATTTATTGTTGTTATAATCGCTATATATAGTGGATGTAAATGGTACCTTAATAATATCTATAGGTTTAATATTAATGCTTTATATATCATTATAAACATTTATTTTATAAATATATAATCGTAATAAATCAGTTAGATAATCAAATAAATATCTTAAATTAATATAAGCTCTTCATATTACAATCCTACTTATCAGAAGATTTCGAATAAACGTCTTTTTTTAAAACCAAAGACACACACATTATTTCAGATAATTTGTATTTTCCCTACTTAATTTTTTATAAATCAATGAATGTAAATATTTAACTAATACATAATCAGGAGAAGGATTATTTTTCCACCTGATTCCATATTCAATAAGTATCTATTTTTTTTCCTCATGCCACGCCTAGTCTGGCCTAAATAATGTGATATATTCTCTTCTTTTTTTACCACACCACATCTTTCAATATTTCATCATTCTCGCTCTTCCTCATTCTTACCTCTTTTACCAATTCTTTATCATTTTAAGCAATATAGCTATTTCTATCTACTCTAATTTCAGTTTCAATTTATTAATTCTGACCACCTAAAATCCATACATCTGCGATTCATAAATTTAACAGATTCTATCCTTCCTAATTTGCAACTTCTTAGATATTGGAGCAAATGTTGTAGCATTATTCTCATTTGTCACCCCCTTTCACCATTTTTTTAGTGCTTCTTAATAGCTTAACCATTTGATTAATAATGCATGTATGTCTTAAATAATTATTTTTATTCTCCATTTATAGTCTTTAATCAAACAAAAATAAACCTCCCTCTATTTATGACCTCGATATTCATTCTTAATCATCATTTATCCCTTCCTCGTTTTTAAAACCATTATTTTCTATTATAATTTCGCTTTCTTATAGATTCAATATTACCATCTTTTGATTCTTTGATTTTTTTTATTTATTTTGACTTAGATTATTTTCGCCAAAGAATATATTATCCAATTACAATTTTAACTATATTTATCATAACTCCAAATCTCATAAAACAACATGTAATGATTGCACCTTCCAACTTTTCTTTCCTGCACCAATGATAATATCTGAAAACAAAGTTTTTCTCAGATGTCAGCCATAAAAATAGTAATAAACTTAGTCTGTATATCTCTTATAATTCATATCTTTTGCGATTTTTTCACAAGATACATAGCAAAGTTAGAAGATTATTTTTATGATGCTGTAGCAAATGTCATAGCAAATATAATATATTTTTCTTAGGAAGCAGAATATGGAATATACCAGGTTTCATGAAATATTCTTAATTAATTAATTTTTAAAAATAATAATACTTTTAGTCATAGAGGAGGTCACGATTACATCGTATAGAGGTTTTAAATATCATTCTTTTTAGTTTTATTTTATTTAAACATCGTAAACTTAGGTGAAGAACCATTCACCCTACAATACAATGGTATATATAACTACAATACAAATTGATTTCATTTTTTATATTTGTATAATATAATATATAATAACGCTTTTAAGAGAGGTGAGATATAGATTCTTAAGAGATTTAGATGATGTTATTAATCCCTAAAAACTGATTGGTTATTTAATGATATATTGTAAATGATAAAAGGTTCAAGAATATTTTCTTCCTGGTTGATAAATGGAGATTACGAGATTCACTTTCAATAGTTATTTTTGTATAATTGGTTATAAACGAAAAAGAAAGAAAAAAATTTTGTGAAATTGAAATTTTGGTATAACAAAACATAATTTTTTTCTTGACGATAATTTCTTATTATAAATTTTACATTTAACTTTGGGTTATTTTGCATTCATTTTTTAATCATATTTTCTTAATCATCAATGGAAAATAAGTTATTATAACTTTTACATTAATAATGGGGTTGTTTCTCATTTTCAATAATATTTTGTTTTTTAATCAATAAAGAATATTTTAGGTTATTTCAAAATTTACAATTCTTATAGCGTCATTTGAGATTTTTATATGTGGCCACCACTGCAATCGTAAAAAAGAAATGAAAAATTTTCCTAAACTACCTTTTACTTCCTTCACATTTTAATTAGATATCATAAATATATTTTTTATGTCCGATTTAAATTTTTTCTTAAAAAAATCGCTTTAAATATAATTTGTTTTATTCAAACCGTTTTAACAGTTTGTAGCCGTTTAAATGAAGTGGCTAAACTCAGTTTTTAGTCAAATACTATTACCTTAGTCTCATTTATTTAAAAAAATTTATAGCATAACTTTTGAAAATAGCTTAAATACCTCAATGCTAAGTGGAATTTATTTGGCATGTGTAGATTGGGCTCTATTATAAGCCGAATTTAACAAATTGGTAATTATTAATTCTTATATTACAATCAAAAAATAATTCAATTACCTTTTATTGGGGATTTAATAATAAATCAAAAGCCTTTTTAAAAACTGGTTCCAAAATTTATTATACTGTGAATTCAACGAATGTTTATGGATTTTTTAGCGCAATATTATAATCAGCTCGGTGATGTATAATTAGCATCCCAATGACGGAAGGAGGAAGGTTTATAAATATATTAGATGGTGGGAAGAAGAAAAAGGAAAGAAAAACTTATACTATTTAGAAAATTGGTAATATTTATAAGTGCGCAGAAATTAGATCTGTTAGAGCCGCGTCCCCAAGACCCGATCATGTAAAAAGATACAAAATTATTTTTTTTCCGGCTAGACTAAAAAACACTGACTAAAATTTCCACCAGCCGGCTCAGGCCAATCACTAATGCGAATAGAATAGAATAGAATGGGTATTGATTGGGCCTGCGCCTATAATTTATTTCAAAAAACTTCATTTCTTATCATTTCAAACGGTAAGATATTTATAAAACTATATAATATCACATTTGAATAATAATAATTAATGCTCGATGTATATTAACGTGTTATCAAAATTCAATATTGATCTCCTTCAATTTTATAGGTAAATACATGGCCATTAAAAAGTTGTCCTTTATGCTGGCTAAATTTTCGATTTCCGCCTTTTTGCCTAGATTTTTCAGATATTCGACCTAAGAGGGTAAAACGTGTATGATAAAAAAAAAATTATTTTCGATATGCATATAATTTGATTGCTAGTGAAGAACCTCATAAAGATAATCCTTATTTGCTTCCTGTGCCATATATGGACGCTTTAGAAGCTCGGCGCATTTCGAGGTATCATATCTGTTGAAAGGTATCAACGTCGAGGGTAAATTAAATCTGAAAAAACAAAATTTTCTATATAGTATTCTTAAAACGAATCGGTGATTATAGACAAAGTAATATAATGTAAGCTTCTAGATTTTTCTGCCACCTACGAACAATCTCCAGGCTTTAATGTTATTTTGTCCCTTTTAAGATCAAAACTTGAGGATTTTAATTGTTCCAAATGATCCTTAAATAAAAACAGGGAACGTGTTTGGCATATACCATAGACATTTATATTGCCAACTCTAAATCAGAGGCATGGTTTGGTCGTGTCCAGGGCCATAAATAGGATTAAAAACTGAGCTACAAGCCGGGCCGGGCTTCATTTTAAATTTTTGCATGCTTATTCTTTCTTTCTTTCTTTCTTTCTTTCTTTCTTTGTAGGTTAGTAACAATTTAATTAATCTGGGATAAAAAGAATTAATTTTTTTCAGAAACCCCAAACTAAAATTCTTTAACCTTTCTATATCGGTTGGCAGGAGTCCTAACCAGTGGACCTTTGAACATACTAAGTTTTGAGATTCACGAAATAGTTCCTTAAATTTATATAATATTGTTAAGTAGTTGTAATTTATAATTTTCCTTTTAAACTACTTGTTTTGTTTTGGTAACGACATACAAAATTTAAACTGATTTTCTCTTTTTTTGTTTGAACTACACTAATCCTAATTGTGAATGACATTATAATTAGTTAGAAATTTTATTTACAAATAGATGAAATTTTGATTTTATATTTTTTAGTATAAAAATTAAATTAGATTCGTAATATTTCCAATTTTTCGGAAATACCAATTTTCAGAAGTCAACAATTATAAAAAATAATAATAAGTTCGTGTGAATCATTTTAAACATTTTCCCAACCGCGTCGCCGCTATATTATAAATTGAGGTGGCAGGCCTGTTAACGCGGCTCAACCAAAGCGGTAGCCTTTTCACCGCAGAAAAAAATTGCAAGGAGGAAGGGAAGGGAGAGATAATGACTTAACATAAATTTGTTATAAATATTTAGATTTTTTCTAGTTTTTTTGATAAATTAAATTCAAGTATATTATATTTCACGCGAGATGGCGTGCTATAAAAACGTTTTTTTAAAATAAATTTAAGTATATACATCTTATCATTTTTTTCTTCCCATCTTTTGTAAAACTAAAAACTAATATGATGATCACGTGATTCAAAGTCTTGCCGGAAACTTCTCGGGATGAATAAATAAAAAATTCCGTCGGAATCGGGCGGGGCTCGGAATGATATTTTGGGAAAAATTTCGGGCCGGGTTCAAACTATTATGTCCGATGACGTCACTCCTCCCATTCATTGTGATTAAAAAAATGATCTAATTATAAAATGGATGCCACCCCCCCCCATCATTCTACCTCCTTCACCCCCCCCCTCCACCCATAAAGTACTCCTTTCCTCTAAGATTTTAACAACGCCAATTAAGGGCTCTGTTAAAGATTGGATCAAATCTCGATCTTCTCTAAGTTCGTTTGTTATGGTAACCTAAAAAAATTACTTAATAAAAATAGCGTCATTACCTTGGATCCAAACTTGTATATCGTCATTATATCGAATCCTTTTTTTTTTTAAAACAGATGAAATATATATAGAAAAATATTTTAATATTTTAGGAAAAGAAAAAAAAATCGTGTCAAAGAAAACAAACTGTTTTAATGCAAAAATGTAAGGTTATGTCTTAGCATAAGATTTGCTCTACGACAAGTTAAGTTTATTATAAAATATTATACGAATATTTCGAAATGTATTGTAGTGTTGTTTAATTGGCTCGATTTTTTAAAACCGGCTAACCGAATATTTTAGCCAAAAAAAATGTCATATGCAAGCCTCGAGATTTCTTAAATAGAGATGCCCAAAACCTTTCCGCCATCTGTGAGCAAAGATTTCCAAGCCTTTATAATATTTTATAGCTAAAAATAATTGGGTTATAGCCGCTTTTAGAAATCCAAGAAACGCTTTCTAAATGTAAGGTTTTTGTCGTTCACGCGACTTAGCAATACGGTGTTAAAACGCGCGGCAAAAAAAGGAGGAATCTTTCGCTAACGACATAACCTCAAAAAGAATTATTTAAATATACTATATACCATGAGGATCAGAATCCGTCAAAACTAATATAGGAATGTTTCGATAAAGGTTACTAAACGAAACCAATAAGCTTCTAGTGTTAATGTCGGGATAACCTTTACCCTTTATATACATGTTTATTATAATTTAGATCGGCTTTTTAGGAGTATAAACTTTTTAGGTTCTCACTGTTAAAGAGTATATTTCTTAATCTCAAGACTCCTCCCCAAATATAAGTAAATATATATATAAGTACAAAAAAAATAGATGTTTTACTGTCATGAGAATGATAGGATAAAATTTGGCCAACAATCCATCGTCTAACAAATTCTGGAAACAGGAATCCTTCTCTACGACCAATATAAATTTTGGCGGATTTTTATCTTCTTTGATAACTTCGAGTGCAAAATAAGTGACAAAAAAAATATTAAATGATGATCTCCAAGCAGCAAAAATAGCTGATCCCTATGGCGCTAGCAGAGTTGTTAAACGCTATTTTTAAAAGTAGCGCGCTACCGCTATAGCTATTTTTCAAAAAAAGTAGCTTTAGCTACTTTTGAAACAAATTTTTTTATTTTTGCTTATAATGTAAATGTATAATAAATAATAATATAAAAATCAACATTTATAAATATAAAAATATAGTTAGTTTAGATTATAAAAAATTAAGCAATATAAATAAATATTTATTTTAATTTGTTGCATTTTAATAATAATATCATTTCAATATTATTATCCCCAAGTCTAGAGCGACGATCAGAAAGTATAAGCTTTGCTTTGCTAAATAATCTCTCGACACTAGCACTTGAGGGCAAGGAAGCTCTAAAAATATTTAATCAGATCAATTTATAAATATAAATAAGTTTTTACCTTCTGTGTCCAACTATCTGCCGGTGTACATACATAAGATATATCTGATAACTCTACTATTAGAACATCTTTAATCACTTTGAAGTTGTCGGCTATTTTATTCATAAGTGTCTGGCGACATAAAACTGTTGTGCCAGGGGATAAAGTTTTAATCATCATAGTAAATGATGGATTATCAACCAACAATGGCTGAAATGTGTCAATAATAAAATCAACAATTACTTTATCAGCCAATTTTTGTGAAATATTGGCATGTTTATTATCAGTTAATTTGGTTTGGATAGTATTTGTCTTTTTGAATGAAGATTCTCTTATACCAAAATTTTTTATATGTTTTTCTATTTCCTTTTAGCAATTGGCGTGAACAGTCTAATAAAATAAATAATATTATAATGTAAAAATAACAATTTACCTTTAGGTATTTCTTCAGGTTATAGCTAGGGATGTAAGACAGGGGAAATTTCCCATATTTCCCCTATAGTTTCCCCAATTTTTATAATAGGTTTTTTTTGCCTAAATCAACATGATTTTTATAATATTAACAGTTTCCCAATTTTGAAAATGATCTTATGATAATATAAATACGATTTTTATTAGATTTTATAAAATCATTTTTTCCTCGTGGTTCATATCATAAATTATAATTGTGTTTTGTTTTTGAATTATGTCAATTTCCCTATTTACATTTGAAAAATTTTATAAGATACTTGTTAAAATTAAATAGCTAGTCTGAAAAGTATAATTATATTATAAATAAATACCAATGAAATTTATAAATAATATATGAAATTTTAAGTTATGTTAATAGAGAATATTTATAGTAATTTATTTCACAGTTTTTAAATTTAGTTGAAAATTTTTAGTATTAATTAATGTATTTACAGTCATCTTGACAGTGAGTTTAAGAGGATTGAACATATAATCAATGAAAAATTAAGCAAAGGTAAAAATTTGACTCTAATTAGTGATGGATGGACAAATATAAGAGGGGAATCCATTATCAACTTTATTCTAGCAACCCCCTGTCCCATTTTTTATAAATCGATTCACACAGGATCTAACATGCACACCGGTGAATATATATCAAACAAATTTATTAAAGTAATTGAAGAAGTAGGAATTTTAAAAATCAACACCATAATAACTGACAATGCAAGTAATATGAAAAAAGCATGGGCCCTTGTAAAACTGAAATACCCAACTATTGAATGCATTGGATGTGCCGCTCATGGATTAAATCTACTTGGAAAGGACATAGCAAATAAGATATTATCCATTCAAATTTTAGTCACTAAAGCTAAAAATATTTAAAATCTAACAATATTCTTTTATCAACGTTAAAAGAAAAACAACTCCTAAGAAATAATAATAAAATTGTTTCCCTAAAGTCAACTCGTTGGGCAGGTATAGTTTTGATGATAAATAGCTTGTTAAAAAATAAAGATATTTTACAGGAAATGGCTATTCTTGATATATTTACTGATCGAGATAAGAGACTTACTCTTCTTGATAACGATGGGTTTTTAAATGATCTAATGCAACTATATAATTTTATTAAAGTCATATTTAAGCAAATAGAGATAGTGGAAGGAGATAAAGCCAATTTATCTGAAGTCCCTCAAGCGTTTATTCATATTAGGGAGACATTTAACGCTTATAAAACAATATCAAATATATTGTCGCAGAGCGAGATTTTAGAAATAGAGCAGTTTATCAAAAGCCGAAAAATTTTTTGTTGTCGGGACATTCATTATGTTGCTCATATATTTGACCCAAGGTTTTGTGGATTTAATTTAAGAGACAATGAAATTGCAAAGGGGTTGGATATTATTAACCGATTTTCTGGATATCTAGATTTAGATATTGCAAGAGTAATAGTAACCTATACAAATATCGTGCAAGGGAAGATTTTTTTAATATAGCAAGTCTTTGGCAAGGCGCATCATTTACAGATCCAGTGAGTTGGTGGAAAGGTTAAATACTTTTATATTTCTGTAAACAATAACTTAACTCTTTTTCTAATCTTAAAATTGTGTTATTCAATATTTTATTAGGTCTATGTTGCAATCAATACATATCGACCCTAGCCATACAAATTTTATCAATACCATCAACAAGTGCAGCATCTGAAAGAATATGGTCCTCCTTTGGAAATATTCATTCTAAATCTAGAAATGGATTAAAAAATGACAAAGTTCGCAAATTAGTTTATATAAGAGCCAGTCTACATTTTATGGAAAAGGAAATTTCAGAAAATGACAAATTGCTGGACAGAAATTCAAGCTCTGATCTGGAATCATTTTCATAAACGAAGATAATTAACTATTCAAAATTAATTGTTTAAATATTAATTAGTCTATATATAATATTTCAAATAAAACATGTAAAGTAATTGCAAATTAGTTGAAAATAATTTATATTTGTTTAAATATAATGTTTATAATCTATATATTTTCAATAAAACATAAAAAAAAATCAATATTGACCTGTAAAGTATTATAAAAAAGATAGTTTCCCATTTTTTCCCGTTATTTCCCTATTTTCTCATTATTTCCCGTTTTTTCCCCAAATTTCCCGGGAAATTTCCCCGAAATATAGTTTCCCGGGAAATTTACATCCCTAGTTATAGCTACTCGATTGATTTTATGATATATTTTTTTTAAATTTTAAGCACAGGAATTTGCAGATTTTGTTTTAATATTTATTTAAAAAATTTTTCAAATCTAGGGAATGGGAAATCGTTATTAGAGCTATTAAGTACATTTTCTTCCATTGAATCTTCCATGTCTGAATCACTTTCAAGGATTTGGATATCCATGGGCGATGCCATTTTAGATTATTAACACAGATTGAAAATATAAATTAAAAATTGAAAATATATTTAAATTTCAAAATTAAATAATAAATTATAAAAATTATAATTAATTATGATATTATATTTAAATTTTCATGTTTATACTTACATTCATTATATTTTTTAAAAGTAGCGAAGTAGCGCGCTACTTAGCTACTTTTAAAAAAAGTAGCGCGCTAAAAAATTAAATAATTTTAAAAAAAGTAGCGGCTATTAGCTATAGCTACCAAAAAAGATAGCGCGCTACTTTAACAACTCTGGGCGCTAGATAATTTTTTTCCCCTTCTAAGCTTAACTTATGAACAAAGAACGGATAGTTTAAAAATCTGCTCAATACACCCATTCCCTCCCCCATCCCCCTGAAGACTAAAATATAGATCCAATTACAAAATGGATGCTGACTATGTAAGTTGACTAAGGGATTATCCTTGTTGTACCACCCCCCCCCCTCCTTACCTGATTTCAATGAAACATTAAATTATATCCCCTCTGCTTCCTTCCCCCGTTAGAAGTCCCCTCAATAAATGCCAGTCAAAAAGAGAGATCTCACTAAATCCTTTCTAATTTAAATACGATTACGCAAATAAAATGGTGGTAAGAAAATGGACATTATAAAATATCGTAAACGAATATGTTTTTTAAAAATTATGCGAGAATTGTTGTCGTAGCCTTGCAATAATTTTCAATAGATAAAATTATATGGCAACCGTCAATCAAAAATACTGGATATCGTTGATTGGCAGGAATTAAATTAATAATAAAATGATGCTTACTACTAGTGTTGTTAAAGGGCTCGTTTTGAGCCGATTTTTAAAAACGGCTAACTCGATACTTCGTCCAGAAAAATATTACCCAAGCTCTGAAGATTTTGCTCATAGAAGGAACAAAGGTCTAGACATATATTATAGAAATCTCTAGACTTAGGCACTATTATTCTGGCTAAAATATTGAGTTAGCCGTTTTAAAAAATAGGCTCAAGATGAGCCGTTTAACTACACTACTTACTACCAAGGGCAATATCGAGCAAATCGTGATTTAACTTGATACATACCGCCAAATACCAGAATTTATCAAAATGTGATAAGACCTTATTTAACATCATCATATTATGGAATCACTTAGTGTTATATACAGGTATACAGAAGTAAAATAAATTGTAATATGAAATGTTAGTAAAACCCATAGTCGTCGAATAGATTAAACCTAAAGTAAAATTTTTTTTTTTTTAAAAAAACCACCCAGCCTTGCCAGTGTAGTGTTGTTAAAAAGCCCGATTCGAGTTAACTAAAATAACGTTATGTATAAAGCCTAAATATTTTGCTCATATAGCTTGGCCAGAAATGCTTAAGAACATTTGCCCAAAATCTTTCGATGCTGGATAAAAACGGCTAGATTATGATTATAAGAATAAGTCCTAAATATTTTGCTCATATAGCTTGGCCAGAAATGCTTAAGAACATTTGCCCAAAATCTTTCGATGCTGGATAAAAACGGCTAGATTATGATTATAAGAATAAGTCCTAAAGATTTTGCTCATATAGCTTGGCAGAAATGCTTAGGAACATTTGCCCAAAATCTTTCGATGCTGGATAAAAACGGCTAGATTATGATTATAAGAATAAGTCCTAAAGATTTTGCTCATATAGCTTGGCAGAAATGCTTAGGAATATCTACTTGCCAAATATCCGATGCTCGAGGCTAGATTAAGATTATAACCAAAATAACATTATGTATAGGCCTTAAGACTCTGCTCATATAGCTTGGCTAGAAGTGCTTTGGAACATCTATTTGCCAAATCTGAAATTTGCAGAGTTCTTAAAGTATCTAGATATAAAAATGTGGTATCTTATCTGTATCTAGATAGATTTTTGATTAAAATATCTGTATCTAGATATTATTTTAGACGATGTATCTGTATCTAGATCCATTTAAAAAGTATCTTTTAACAACTCTGGAAATTTGTATCCTTAATCGCATAAGGCGTATTTTGCCGTTCATCTTCTAAGAAATTTATAATTTTTTTAAAAAAAAAAAAGTAAACGAGATTATCAAATAGTATCGAGAAAAAGGGGGAAAAAAAATCTAGTTTGGCAAAAAATAAAAATTATTCTACCATTAGTGCATGCGATACAGGGTTGATCTGGCAGTTTTGAAAAATCGACCCAAATTGAGGCTTTTTAAACAACACTACTTGCCAATTATAACTTCATTATAGCCCTAACTTAATTTTTAGATTAAAACGATAATAAAATAGGACAAGCTTACCAAAAATGGAATTCAAGAATAAAATAGTATCACCCTAACCCTAACCTAACCCTAAACTGAAGGTAGGGTTAAAAAAAAATTAAAAAAATTAGCCGCTGCTCTTTACTTTTGAAGCGTTCGTTGCTTTCGGGTATCGCGATCGCCTAATCATATTAACAAAAAAAATTAATAATTAAGTGTTGCGTCAAAAATGCTGAGGAAAAAAAAATGATAAATACATTTAAGAACGAGTTAAGACTTAAGAATGCACCCAAAACCACGATTTTTTTTATTTGAGGAATTCGCGATTCTCGAGTAAAATTAAATGCGGGAAGGGGTGTCACGTGTTAATCGCATTTTAATAAACATATGGTTTACTCTAAAATGTGTTACGAGGGCTTAAAATTTTATTTCCTGGTTATGGGCTGCAAAAATCAATTAGTCAATCTTATTGATTAAAAATTTGAATTCTCATGAGCATTTTTTTTTCTTTCTTCCATTTAAATATGGATTAAAATCTGAAGATATTTTGCGATTTCTTTGGGAGGTAATTTTTGCCAAAATTAATTAATTTTTTTTTTTTGATAAAATTAATAAGTGATTTAGTTCTATACAATAAACTCTTGAACTATTACTTACTTCTGCACCTTGAGCGCAACTAATGTATATCCCTGACTTGTTGACATAACTAAATTGACCGGCTATCAATCCTTTAGAAGTTGTCACCTTAAATATAAATAGTGTATATTTGGGGAGAGTTATAACTGGAGTCTTTAAAATTTAAAATTCTATTTCCTGAATTTTAAGAATTTCTTAATTTTAAATCATTTATTGGGAGATATTTTTTTTTAAAAAAAAATCTGACTTTTACCGGAAATGCATTTTTAGAATGTGTAGAAGTGCTCTCCTTCTCTCTCTGACTACTCCTTGTGTATATTTTTTTTCATCTACAAAAGTTTATGGCGAATTCCTAAGGTAGGTAACTCGAAAGTAATATGATTTTTTTTTTAAATCGAATATTCCGGTAAAACCAATGACGTGTATAATACCTAGACTGACGATTCGTTCATTAAAAAGTGTAACATCAATGCAAATCAGCTGGAAACGCCATCTTGGTTACAATCATTATTAAAATGATTAAAACGAGGAGCCTAATTTATTCCTATATCTGATGCCAAACTTTATTACAGAATTACCGGATCATCGAGACGATAAGGAATCAAGTTATCAATTTAATAGTAGTTTTTAACATGAGAATAATTACTATATGTGTTACCAAAATGGCGGGTCCAGCTGATTTGCTAGACGCTTAAAAAAAATGCATTTTAATGAAATGTCATTGGTTAAAACATACGATATTATATTTAGAAAAATGATTGACAACGTTTCGCGAAGACGCATTTACCCATTTATAGGCCAAGCCGTGATTTTAAATATTTTTGTCATTTTAGGACATGTTCAGCTGATTAATAGGCTGAATTTTTTTTAAATTGTTTAATTGGATATAATTTAAATGGTCCGGTTAGCCCCAGCCTCTTAAATAAATTTTTTTTAATTTTTGTATATGTTAGAGTCAATGAGCACTTTTTTTGAAAATTATTAATATCTGATTTTACCGGAAATGTATTTCTTCATAAGTTTAGATACCTAAACCATGAATTTCAGACAAATTTGCTAGGAATCTTTGAAACTTAATATAAATTTAAATTAATTTTTCCATAGAATTTTTTGTATAAATTTAAAATGACTCAGAAGGTTAAAGGGAAAAAAATTGTCTAGAATTTATAAAGTAGGAATTCTAAACATGTCAAAATATATTTCCGGTATAAAATCTGATTTTTTTAAATTTAAAATAACGCTCTTAAAAAATGATTTAAAGTTAAAAAAAATCACACGTTTCCTGGAAAAAAATACATCGGGCCCGGCCCGGATTTTCTTCAAATATTTTCTACGGCCCGGCCCGGGTTTCATATTTTTATGACCCGGCGAATGCTAAGTAATTTGTTAAAAAATTAAAAAAACTAAATTTTTTCAAAAAAAAGTATCTACAATGTTAATTGAGTTTCTTGGGATCTTCAGGCTTTTGATGATATCGTTAACGGTCCTGTTCAATGTATCTTGAGATTTGTACAAGTTTTTGAAACGGTAATATATTTCTCTGCGAAAGAATACGAAGAATATGAAAATTTAATTAATAGCGCGGACAAAATTGAGCGTTCGCGTTTTTTTTTGCAAATGCCCGCCCTTATGCCGGGTAAGCAGTGTTGCTGAACGGCCCGATTTTAGCAGATTTTTAAAAACCGGCAAACTCAATATTTTTAACCGGAAGAATATTGTCCAAGCCTCGAGATTTCGTTTGATAGATGTTCAAACTTTTGTGCCATCTGTGAGCAAAATTGTAAGGCTTGCATAATATTTTTTTTCCTTATGGAGCATGCGTATTTGATTCCATGGTAAGGCGATAGTTTGATTGGTATTTGTTTTATTTTATTTTTTTTGTTATTTTTTTGCATTTTAATTCATTATTTGAAACCCTTGCAATCCAAAAGGTATATAATACCTACCCTTTAAATTTATGACAGATTTATAATGAACTTTTGAAGAAATTTTAATAAATTGTATCTGTATCAAGATAACTTTTTAGAAGCTGTATCTGTATCTAGATAAATTTTTAAAGGTCGGTATTCTAACATATATTGGAATGCATTCCCTTCTAAATAAGATCTTTAAATTTAAATGAAGCGCGTTCAATTAATGATTTCAAAATATTAAAAAAAACCTACTGCGCATGTGCCTGGAAAACCTATCAAACTATCGCATAACCTATTATCTTTTTTCTAAATGTATAGTTATTTTTGTTATTTTAAGAATACTTCACAAAATTAGTAGCATTTTATTTTATTTTTTTACTTTTATTTGCGTTTCATTTAAATTATTGTATTTCAAATGGATGGTGCAAATATGGTTCATAGATAATTTCCTTCTTAAATTTATATAATGTTTCTGACAATTATTATTCATATCAGTTAAAGTGGAAGAAATTTTAAAATCGCGGGAGATTTTTCAATTGCGTGCTGAGAAAAATATTGCGGAAGTCTCCCGCTGATGTGCAGAGACCTGGCAACCCTGTTTCTAAGGGCCCAAAGAAATTATTTTTACCAATTTGCACTATATCAATTGAAGAAGAGAATGATAAGTTTAAGATGAAAATCCTATGAGGTTAAGAAATAGGGATTTTAGGGGTTTCTGCAGTATTTGTCGAGGGGGACAGTTTGCAAAGACAGTTTGAAACGCTCAATTTGTTAAGCGCTATAATTTAGATATTTAAAATGAATAGAAATTACCTTTTAGTGTATACGGATTGAGTTAAAATCATTTTGTGAATCAGGGCAAATAGATTAAGAAATCTGGCTATTTTTAAAAAAAATATATAATGCGGGGTAAAGAAATATGAAAATGAGTTTTAAAAGGCATCCATTTTGTTTTATTTTTACTGAATTTGTAAATCGAACGACAAGATCCTAAGGTAATCGTACTCAGAGAATTATCACCATCTTCTTTCGTGCTAATTGTTTTCCGAAATATTTTTAAAAATTACATATATATTTTTTAAAAAACAACTATTCACCTGTCAATTAGTGGAATCAATAAATATGGCGCTCTTCCGCTAATAATTTGGGTTAGAATATTGTAAATTTCTTTTTCGATAGCGTTTATAGTTAAGCTTTAACATTTGAATCTATACAAAACAATAAAATTGTTACTTTATTACTTGATATCGGATAAATTGCTCATATTAAAAAATTCGTCTGCTATTTTTTTAAAAAAAAAATAAAATATATCTATATATCCACGAGATAAAATTATAACCTAAACTTATTAATGGATTATAAGTTAATATATTTTTCGATGTTGTAATCTTTCAGGTGTTTCTTTTGTTTCCCGCTGGACCTAAAAGTGACAATTAAAGGGCTGCTTAACAGATAAATATTTAAAAAATGGCATTTCTAATTAGTATCAGATAAATAAATAATCGTATTTGTTTAGAATTTCATAAATTTCAATGATTTTCGTATTCACTTTTTGAGTGATAGTAATCTGGTAATAGTTAAGAGTTTAATTTCATTTAAAAATTAATCTTATTTTCATGTGGTAGATGTTTGTTTAGAAACATCGCCGGGGTTGCCAAGTGGGTTAGTGATGTGTGCTTGAATCAGAAGGTCCCAGGTTCAATCCTGGTAAGGAACGTAAAATTTTCAGGTTTTTCTTCGATGATTGATGTGTAAAGCAATATGATAGGATAATTTTCTGAGGTGAAAAATGGCACCCCAGTCACCGACAGGCTTGGACAGCCGGGTGCTAAGGATACTTATCCAATAAACCATGAATGAAAGATGGTCAGCTGACCTCATGGGCCATTCAAGGATGATAGGGTGGGATACCTATCTGATACTTCGGCATGAGGAATACTCCGGTAAGATATCTGTCGATAAGATACATTGGCCTCGATAGCGATACTCTTGTGGGAGATCCAAATGAAATCGATATTCCGGTGGAAAAAAATATAAATTTGATAAAATGAGATAGTATGAATAATAAAGTGGAAAGAGATTTGAAGGAACTTACCGCCCGAAAAGGTGAAAGCTAAAAAGAAAAAAGAAAGAAAAGATGTTGTGTTCAGAAACACGTAATTTAGTAGGCTATAGATCTCCTGAACCAGGATTCTCATTTAATGTCTTTCTTTAATTTTTATCTCTCAGTATGCCAATATAAATTTACTTCTTTTTAAGCAATATTTTAACATTTTTATATGGGTCGAACTAAAGTTCTGCCAAAGCGGGTGGGGAGGGGGGAAATCATCTACTCCATTGTTTTATTTTGATATGACACTTTATCAAGGATGCGCTGAAACCATATACCGAAATCACCCCAGGCAGCCATTTTATCAAAATTGTTGACAAGCGGGGATGCTATAGCTTGACCTGTACGTTAGAATTTATAGGAATTAGACTGAATTATAGTATTAATAATTAAATGTAAATATAAGATTTTAAAACGATTCTTAATCATAAAAAAATTTAACTGGTGATAAATATTACACCTTTTTTTTTATATACAAGGTAAATCCATTATCTAAAAACATGTAAAAATCACGTTTATCCAATTTACAACATATAATATATTATTATACAATATAATAATATATCGTTACTAAAAAAAAACGATCGCCTAAAACCTTCTATAATAAAAAAAAGTATATTAAAATATAAAGTTACAAACATGTAACAAAAATAATTTTTTATAATTTGCCATATAAAAAAAAAATGACTTTCAATTTTAAATGGCGCTTGCACTTGTAATTTATTTTCTTGTATCTGAATTCCTCGTGATAGTTACTTCTCAAATAAACCTTTTGATAGAAAAGATAAAATACTTGACCATAAGGTTTCCAAATACCAAACTTCCAGTAAACTTATTTTATATTTTTATTAATAAAATAATTTTTTTAAAACATCCGATATCAGCGATACCAGTTTATCCGAGATTTCAAAGATCTTAAAAATTGTATCGAAAATTAGAATTCTACATCGTAGCGAATTTTTGATTTTGGACAATTTAGAACAGAGCATGGTAGAAATGCGCAGGGGAAGATTCAAGTTGAAGATAATGGGCAAACATCCAGTTATTATATAGTAGCTAAAATATAACTCGTTAACCTTTCCAAGCAATGATTATAACAACATTAGCCATATATAGCAAGAATGACATATTTTGCTCAATCAGCATATACCAGAAGAGGGTGCACTTACTTTTTGGGGAAAAAAGCGACTGGAATTTCCTAGGCTTGCTAATTTAGCTAAGAAGATTCTTTGTATACCTGCAACCTACACCCAGATGAAGAATTTTTTTTCTATCTCTGGATTAATATACTCAATGCAAAAAAGACTTTGTTATGTCCCACGAATCTTAATAAAATACTATTTATTTATGACAATTTGAATTTTACTAAATCTGGTTTCTAATTTACTATATTCCTTATATTTTGCTCGCATTCCAAATTGGTATTTTAATTTTGTTTTAATAATATATAAAAAATCAATAGATTTATTACTTCATTAATAACTAATAAATATAAACAACATAACATTATAAATGAGAATACGATTATTTTAGAAAGAGCCTAGGAAAGCTTAACTTTGAAGCTGATGTAAATACGCTATAAGGATAGCTATAACCAACTTATCACTAAAATGTGTTGTTTATGAGTGATTCTGATCTGAGTTTAAAATGCAATTCCTTAGTTCTGTTTCTGAGAAAGTAAAATACATAAATCTAAAATAGGAGTGAGACAGAAAATAATTTAAGGCATGAATCAAACACTTTTTTTTAAAAAATATTCTTACACCTTTCTCATTTTAATAACCCACGCCATTTTAACATACAATTTTTCAAAATAAAAATATACATATTTTGATTAGTGTTGTTAAAAAGCCAAGATTATTAATCAAAATAACATTTAATGTAAGCCTAAAGATTTTGCACATAACTAGCAGAAATTCTCGGACATCTATTCGCCAAATCGCTTACACAATATAATTTTAGTTACGCCCGGCTTGTACCCGAACGGGTTTCGGGCCGGGCCTATTTTTTTAAAAAACCGGTTTCGCTGGGTCTGGGCTAATACTTTTTAAAAAATTCGGGCCGGGCCGGGTCGGGCTTTTAAATCGGGCCGTTTTGAAAAATCGACCCAAATCGAACTTTTTTTAACAACAGATAATTTTTAATTATTTTTTTTTAAAAAAAAAGAAGAAATTTATTAAAAATAATTTTTATTCGAATAAACAAAAGATATAATTAAAAGATATAAAAAAAATTAAATTTTTAAAAAAATACTGTCCTAAAAAAAATGGCTTATAGATTTGATGATCACATGCAATATACAAGTAATGCATTAAATGTCTTTAAAAAAAAGTAATACGAATTATTTTTAAATGCGTTGGTTTATCTCAATTCGCGACATTTTAATGTATAAAAATAAATAAATACTTTGGGGGCGTGACATTCATTACACGAAAGAATATTAGGAATTTAATATATTAATTCATTTTTTAAAAAATAAATAAGATAAGCTTAAAAATAAAATAAGAGAAATAACATGCACGTTTAAATTTTGAGAGTAACTTTGAAAAAAAAAAATATGGTAATGCAGGATTTTTTGGAATAGGAATTGGATCGATAGCCAATTCCTAGAAAGTATCGCCCCGATTTCTTAGTCGTTTAATGGACAGTTGCGCGCATCAATATGAGAGGGCCAATCAAAAAGTATAGTTGATAAAGGGGCAATAATTTAAGTTTTTTTTAAAAGTTGTCTGTGATGTGGCATAAATAATAGGTTATCGATGAGAAATATCATATCAAATTCTGAAATCGGGGCGCATCCCTAATTTTTCCCGTGGTTCGCGAACAGCTAAGCATCTTTAAGGCAGTTATTTTTAAGTAAAAGCGCGAAAAAAAATAGATTAATATATTATTAATGAGGTTTAAATCTTCGTTTTGTTTTCTTCTTCATAATTTGTACGATTTATAAATATTTTTGCTAGCGTTTCGTATGAGAGCGTAAGGAAAACAGGCGTCTAGTAAGTCGTGCGACAAGTCGGGACATTCGAAAACGATCTAAAAATTTATCAAAAAAGCATTTTAATTTTAAAAAAAAAATGATTTCGTGAAGAAGATGGCGAATGCGCTAGTTAACCAATCAAAAAGCGGGAACAATAAATCCTATGATCGGCATTATTGTAAGTTGAGTGTGTGTTGTATTCCCCAACCCCAAATCCTACCTTCGCCCTAATCGCGGTGGATGGTGAGCGAGTAGCAACGTTTTTGGCGGCTAATGGAGGTAAAAGGTTCCCTGTGGTTGGTCTGGGTCTAAAATAGGGTGACCGTCTCCTCGACGGGATGTAAAAACCACTTAAATGGGGGTTGATGTCAGGAAGGGCACCCGAACGTTAAAAACCTTCCTAACAAAATTTCCTGATGATGAAAAAAGGCCGTTTAGTTAATGAAGGGTTCATATTGGGCCCCAATATATCTTTAATTTTTGGAAGGTAATTACGCCAGGCCCTAAAGGAGGTGGATGCCAGAAAGGGACATACTGGAAATCGCCATTGAACGGAGAAGAAGAGGCGGCGTGTGTTGTATTTAGAAAAATAAAAATGTGATATAGATTTAAAACCTTTTCCAAGAGGAGGCACATGGAATCCCGGTACATATGAATATTTTCCTTTTCGGTTTCTTGGCAGGCTTTCAACAAGCAATAAGATGTCAACTATTTATTTTTTTTTTAAAAAAACAAAAGGATAATGGTGTATCTGTCAATTTGTAATTGACATTTATGGACGTTCTCTCAATATTTTTTTTCTAGAAGATGATTATCGATTTTAATTTTCATCGTTTTTAACTTTTAAATCACGCGATATAGGGTATATTAAGAGAATAAGGTAATATTGGGTAATGATACACACACACATATATATATGTCGTATGGGGATTCGGAATCTCTTGATTTTAAATCCTTTAAAACTCCCATTTACCCGGAAATGCATTCTAGCACGTGTAGAGTATTTACCCTATAAATCTCAGCCAATTTCAGCCAAAGACATTATAGTGTTTTTTTTTTAAATTTATATTAAAAATCCATAATATAAAAATTAACATAAATTAGAAGTAGTTCTAAAGTCCACGGCAAGATTGGCTGAAATTTACAGGGTATATACTCTACACGTGCTAAAATACATTTCCAATTCGGTTTTTAAAACTGTTTAAATGGGCTTCGGTAAAGGATTTAAAATCAAGAGATTCCGATAGATATATACGTGAAAATTACGAGGAAATTGAGGTTAAAATGGATTTTTTTCTGTAAAAATAAAATAAGAAATAATATTTTTTTTTAAAAATTTATTATATTTTTACCGCCAAAAACTCTTTCATCCTGTCTTTGTTATCATTTTTCGCGTGAATATGGAAGAGCGTTGAAAAGAGCGTATTAAGTCCCTTGGCTATGGTGTGCGAATTATTCGCCATGCCTATTATCAATTCATGTCATTGAATTTTAATATCGTATATAGTTTAATCTTTCTTTCTTTCATACTGTAATTTTAAGTGGTAATAGTATAATAGTGAATTTATATTAATTAGATTTTTTTTAAATCGATTGGTCTTAATTCATCATAATAGTATAAATTTAACAATTTTTTTTGTTTTAAAACCGTCAGAAAATGGTCTAAACATATTGGCGGAGGTGGCTTGGCTTTCGCCGCCTGACCCGGTTTGTCCTGGAGGGTGGTTAAAACTGGTGACACCGGACGAGTTGGTCGTCAGGTGAGAAATGTCCAGGCTATTCAGCTGATCGCATTTAGAGAGCAGTTTGGGGATGCACAAGGAAAGCAGGACCATGAGTAAACAAGAATTTTCGTATTCTTCGTCAGATTTGTAATCTTTTAAATATTTTTTTTAAAAAAAGCTTAATTTTTAAATTAAAAATTCATTAAATATTTCTTTTTAATTAGAAATTATTTAATATCTCTCAGAGAAATTTGGCCATTTTATATAAATTTTTAGCCGTGTTTAATAAACTCTTTAAATAAGGAAACGGAAAACCCCTAATTTTTGTAGGGACCTGCCTCTCCCCGCTAAAGGTTATTCATGTGTCGCAGTCATATTTTCTAAGACTTTTTGTCGCTGAATCGGCACACATTGAATGAATTTTTTTTTCTATTTTTACCAAGTTAATCTTGTCATAAAGCCATTCTACAAGTGGATACCTAACCGTTAAAACCAAGTTATTTTATGGATGAGAGGAATTTCTATCAATATAAGATTTACAATATGGCGTGTATTTTTTTTTAAAAAGTATTAATCATGGCGAACTCCATGTTTCAAGACATCTGATCTCTTTCTTTCTTTTTAAATAAATCATAATTACAGAGACGAGTGTACGTATGGAAAAAAAATTTGAATTCGAAATTAAACCAAAAAGGTGATTTGGTGTAAAAGAAATGAAGGTGTCCAATCAAATGGATGCTGGGTAAATCTAAGAAGCGGGCAGGCAAGGAGTGAAGTTATAAGGAAAACTTTAATGATTCACTCCAATTCAGGCTAAGATGAAGGGAACAAGCAAGTAAAGGTTATGTTGATTTAATTATTTAAGAAAGAAGATGGAGACCGGATATATTGGAAAAAAAGAATAGAATTAGAAGTTGGAAGGCAAACCTAGAAGGATGTGATTGGTCAAAAAATTTACGGATTTTAGATCTTACGGAGGCGTGCAGGGACTGGAATTAAGGGGTACCGGAAAGAAATCTAACCGTTTCAATAACGAATGTTATTATTATAAATATTCAACAAAAAAAAAGAAATCACTACCCAAATTCTGTTTGAAGGCGAACATCAGGTAAGGATTGACAGAATGTTGAATGCCGGCTACGATTGACATCTCATTAACGACCTTAAAAAAAGTATTTAAAAAAATGAAATTTTAAACAAAGTTAATCCTGGCAAAAAAAAATGGGATCGTTTCTTAACCCGAATCCACGCTTAACGCGATTCGCGGCCAAGTTTACAAATAATTAACAGTATTCATTTGCGTATTTCGCCGCGTTTACTCGTTTAACCATGATCGCGGGGTTTTTAAACGTCAGTCAATTTCGAGTTTAGAAGAAAAATAAATAATAATACTGTTCGGCATATGGCATATAATAATTCAACAAAAATAAAATTTATATATTTAATTGTTGTAGCATATAAGTTAGGGTCCGAATTTGAGTTGATGATATTTTGGAAATCGGAATGATAAACATAGGATGGAAAATCCTACGATTGGGAAATAGGGATTTCAGGATTTCTATCTGCCAGTATTTGTCGAGGGAAGACATCCTGAGATCCTCGACAAATACTGGCAGATAGAAAAACCCCTATGAGGTTAGGAAATAGGGAACCGTGATCGCAGAGTTTTTAGCGCCAGTCAATTTAGAATACTTCTTAGCATAGTGTTCAAAAAAAATTATAAATTTAATTGTTGCCCTATATTACGTTAGAGTCGGCGTTTGAGTTGATGATATTCTGGAAATCGGATATGGAGGATAAGAGGAAGGGGGTTCTTTTACGTAGAACCTGTTGTTAAAAAAAAACAAAATATTTAAAAAAAAAACAAATAAAACAGTTCAAAAAAACAATCTAAGAAAAATATAAAATTTAAAAAATAAATAACGAAAGAGGGAGGGGGGAGTTATGGTTCGTAATACGCGTGCGTTACGTGCGAGATAACGTTAATGTTTAAAAAAAAAATTTAAAACGGTTGCGCTATCGTTTTGGCGATGAATTATAAACATCGCTTGAGTGACAGTTCGCTGTCACTATTTATATGCTAATTAATGGTAATTTTAAGGCCATATTAATCTTGTTAAATTCGGGTTCATTTGTTATAAGAATGCCTGCCGCTAACATGCCCCTATTCAACCGAACTTGGACAAACATTTTCTAGGATAGGGGGGCATCCCAGAATCCTGACCCGTAGGGGTGAAAAGATTTTTTGGGCGGACCTGTGGATCGCTAAATATTTTTTTTTAAAAAGCTTAAGAATCAAGAAAACTTGTATCATTCAAACAAACAAAAAAATTATCAAAAGACCGGGGCCAAAAAACCCAAAATAAATTTTGAATCTCCTCGCTAAAAGTTTTCAAAATGTTTCGACCTAAGCCAAAAAAAATTCTGACATTCAGACGGTGGGATCAGCTGTTTAAAATTTGGTCCAAATGAATCGTTTGACATCACCATATCATAAAAAATTATTCGAAGAGTTCTCTTTTCAAATCATCTTTTTTTCCCCAAATAATGTCAATATATCGTCGGCCTAGAATTGGACTGCTCTACTTGCGCAAATGTTTTAAAAATGAGAAAATCAACATTACCATTTTAAAAAATCAAAATATAGGAATAACTTATCGATCAATTTTGACAGAGCTATTATAATTTTGGCAAAAAAAATCGATATTTTTTTTTTAAAATCTAGTTTTTATTTTTATTATTATAATAGTGATTGGGAATATAGAAGTTTATTTGTCCACCTTCAACTCAAAATTTTTGAAAAAATGTTGAGTGGAGCCAGTGGCGTAGCTACCGGGGGTAGTTTTCGGGTTTGGACCCCTCCCAGAGCAAAAATTTATTTTTAGATAAATATCGCCAGGATATTTCGCCAGGATAAAGAAAGAAATTACAGACATAAAAATATTGTTTAAACAAAAAAATATGGGAATCATGTTTTGCGTAGTGATATAAAAAATATATATATAATTTTGCCCAGGATATTTTGTTAAGGGGGGGGGGGCGTGTTGTAGTAATTATGTATATTTAAATTATTATTACAATAATGTCAAGGATATATTGTATTTTTATATGGAAAAGAAATGATGTGAAGGTTGTAATTTATTTTTATTTGAAAAAGAAACAAATGTTTTTAGTTAATTTTTTTTTTGCGTAAAAAAAGAGGAATTTATATATAAATAAATTTTTATTATAAAGTACATATTATAAAAATAACATTATCAGTAGTGTATCGTTTAGTTAACAGAATCGACAAAAAGTACCAAGAGTTAAAGTTAGGAGAACCACAAAAAGTGGTGCCGTGACCATGGTGACAGGAGTGGGATGAGTATCTATGAAATATTCGTCGGATGAGTTCACCATACATCTCTAATCTTTGGTATTTGTCAAGGCTGGGAGTCTTTAGCTCTTCTAAGTAGCAATATCTTTCGTGTAAATTTACCCAGTCTTAGTCAACATCAGCCAAGTTCTCGTTCATTGAATCATAGAACATCGAATTCAACCCACATATGTACACGTACGAGGCGTCACAGAACTCAATATTAGCTTTTATTGTTTTTCGGTTGAACTCTCGCTCTAAGACTCTACTTGTGAATTTCGCATAAACTGCAACATCCAATAAACATATGATAGCATGAGCAGTTTGATTGCTATAAGTTGGTGTTTCAAAAACTCTAGCCATAGCAGGTGTAAATAATTAATTATTATATTTTCTTTGATAATAACTTTTCTATTTTCACGTGTTAACGAAGTTCAGGAGGAGGTGCACAGGTTCTTCATAAAACAATACTGAGAGGATTATCAAGATCTGATTGAGTGTATGAAGTGATAAAGAAGAAATACAGACATAAAAATATTGTTATAGTAACGGTTGGGTTAGGGGCCTGTAATATAGGCGACAATGTGCTCAGTAAGGACTCTCCAATCTTCACTACGCATGGCTTACAGAATAAAACTCTTCGCAATGCCCACGCAGTTGCTGAGGCTTGGGAAAAGATGAGGGTATCAGAACCATGGTCAGCTGATGCAATCACTCGGGAATTGTTAACAGAATACGATTTCAGTCTAATACCGATAGCACGATTATATGAGAGAGTAACCTCAAGAAGATCTGCAAATGATCACCAGGATATTCGACAGGATAAATAAGTATACAGTAGGTGACAGTTATGGTGTGATTTGTTCATAGACACATCTGGCTGGAGCCCTAGTGCACCGAGGCACCATTGGGCAAAGCACCATGATTACAATCTCAAGCTCACCAGCAGGGGAAAATGGTTAGGCCTGGAACTCATCTTGAAAGACATTCAAGCATGCAATGCAAAAAGGGGCGTTCTGGCACATGCACTCCTCAAAGATGGCTTGTTCCAAGGTTGGACTGGCACAGCTGATTCTATTTTTAATGTCCATATTAGCACATACTGTGTCAGGGTAGGTAAACAAGCTGGTTATCTTCCTGGTCACGCGAGAGCAGACACAGCTGGGTTAATAGACGATGCCGTACAAGGAATAAAGTTCCCCCTCGGAACATCTAAAGAATACGCACAACGAGCAGCCAATGTGCATTACGTAACTACTAAACGTGTGTGGGGAGAGCTAGGTGCAGAACTGAATGAGGCAAAGACAATATATTCCTCTATAAAGTTCATATATCTCAACAGGTTCTTTAGCTAAGACAGTGAAGTACTATCTGACATGAAGACCTTCTCAAAAATTGATGGCACCTACACTAGACTGTTATCAACTCTCACACAGCAGATAGACACGGTATTTGGGGCTGCGAGAGCATCGTCCGAGCGAGGAAGCTATTATTATGCCACCTTTCGATCTGTTGACTTAATCACTCAGACGTCTGCTTGGGGTCGAGACCTGGGTTATCTTGAATTAGTGGCTCTGTACTTTGCCCCACGCAGCCTCTGCGGCTATGGCTTTCCCCACTTTGAAGTTGGATACCATCACCATGTACTTAGGGATCATTCACAAGACGAAGAACCTGTGCACCTCCTCCTGAACTTCGTTAAAACGTGAAAATAGAAAAGTTATTATCAAAGAAAATATAATAATTAATTATTTATACCTGCTATGGCTATTTTAAAACACCAACTTATAGCAATCAAACTGCTCGTGCTATCATATGTTTAATGGATGTTGCAGTTTATGCGAAATTCACAAGTAGAGACTTAGAGCGAGAGTTCAACCGAAAAAGAATAAAAGCTAATATTGAGTTCTGTGACGCCTCGTAAGTGTACATATGTGGGTTGAATTCGATGTTCTATGATTCAATGGACGAGAACTTGGCTGATGTTGACGAAAACTGGGTAGATTTACACGAAAGATATTGTTACTTAGAAGGGCTAAAGACTGGCAGCTTTGACAAATACAAAATATTAGGGATGTATGGTGAACTCATCCGACGAATATTTCATAGGTACTCATCCCACTCCTGACACCATGGTCACGGCACCACACTTTAACTCTTGGTACTTGGTTAATTAAACGATACACTACTGATAATTTTACTTCTATAATATATTCTTTATAACAAAAATTATTTTATATATAAAAATTCAACTTTTTTACGCAAAAAAAAAGGAAAATTCTTAGCTACGCCACTGAGTGGAGCACTCCAATTCTATACTGACGATTATATATATATATATAATGACCAATTTAAGGATTTAAAGAAGAGAGTAGATTTTAAATAAAGAAGAGGAAAAAAAGAAAGGAAAACAAACGGATAATGAATCAACTATGGAATCAATCATTTACGGTATATATGTCGTATGGGGATTCGGAATCTCTAGATTTTAGATCCTTCACCGTGGATGATTTAAAAAAAAATTTAAAATCCCATTTAATCGGAAATGTATTCTTCTAGCATATGTGGACTATTTGCCATATAGATTTCAGCCAATTTTCACATTTTTACACGAAATTTAGAAAACTAATTTTGATTTATATTAATTTTTTATACCGATTTTTCATATAGCTGAAATTCCCTAAAGTAAAATACTGGTGTTGTTAAACGGCTCGTTTTCGATTTTTTAAAAACGGCTAACTCGATATTTTAGCCAGAGAAATATTGCCCAAGTCTTAAGATTTCGCTAATAGATGCCCAAACCTTTGTTCCTGTCTACAAACAAAATCTTCAGGCTTGCTTATTAATATTCTAGATGAAATATTGAGTTAGCCATTTTTAAAAATCGGCTCAAAACGAGCCGTTTAAATACTCTACAGATGCTAGAATACATTTTCGGTCAAATCGGATTTTAAAATTTTTTTTAAATCGCCCTCGGTAACGAATTTTAAAATTTTTTAAATCACCCTCGGTGAGGGATTTAAAATCAAGAGATTCAGAATCTCTACGGATTCCGAATCCCCATACGACTCGTATATCATAATGGATTTCGAAAAAAAAAAAATATTTAAAGAAAACTTTTAAAAAGGTTTATATGAAGAAGAAAAAAATATATAATAACATTTTTTGTTTTCTTTCCTGAAAAATTAAATTATTTATACGTCGTTTAGGGCTTCCATGCACAACCCGTTGAAATTTACCAAACAACCAATCACGATGAGTCTTTGCAACACATGATCAAACGCTTTAAAACATATGTTGTTGTTTTTTTTTAAAAAAAAAAATAAATAAATATAAAATTATAAATAGTCGGCGGAACAAGGTTTTAATAAAAGGAGTGAGTAATCTTATGATTTAGTCTATTCCTAAAAACAACAAAGAATTTGTGATTTCAAATCACATAAGTTACGCATAAAAATCACAAAACATTTATATATATATATATATAAATAGACAAAAGATTTATATATATATATAAATAGATTTTTTTACGCATAAAAATCACAAAAGATTTATATATATATATATAAATAGATTTTTTTACGCATAAAAATCACAAAAGATTTATATATATATATATATAAATAGATTTTTTTACGCATAAAAATCACAAAAGATTTATATATATATATATAAATAGATTTTTTTACGCATAAAAATCACAAAAGATTTATATATATATATAAATAGATTTTTTTACGCATAAAAATCACAAAAGATTTCTATATATATATATAAATAGATTTTTTTACGCATAAAAATCACAAAAGATTTATATATATATATATAAATAGATTTTTTTACGCATAAAAATCACAAAAGATTTATATATATATATATATATATATATAAATAGATTTTTTTACGCATAAAAATCACAAAAGATTTATATATATATATATATATAAATAGATTTTTTTACGCATAAAAATCACAAAAGATTTATATATATATAAATGGATTTTTTTTGTGAATAAAAATAATAAAATATTTTTTTATGCATAATAATCACAAAAGATTTATATATATAAATCGATTGATTTATGAATAAAAATCGCAAAAGAAGCATAAAAATCACAAAAGATTTATATATATATTAAAAGATTTTTTCCCCTCAAAAATATTTGAATTTTAGGCAAAAAAATTTGAACATTACGAAAAAAAATTTTTTTTTTTTTGTATTTTGGAGAAAATTTTGGCTTATTTTGAGCCGATTCTTTAAAAACGGCTAACTCAGCATTTTTATCCTTAGAAATATTGCGCAAGTCCTGAAGAATTTGCTCACAGATGGTATAAAAGTCTAGACATTTATCAGCGAAATCTGGAGGGCTAAGTAATCTGTTTCTGGCTTAAATATAGAATAATATTTTCGCCGGAAAATTTTGCTAATAGATATCAAAACCTTTGTTCCTTCAAGAAACAAAATCTTCAGGCTTCCTGTAATATTATTCTGGATGAAATATTGAGTGAGCCTCTTTTTATAAAAGCGGTTCAAAACGAGCCGTTTAACAACACTGCAATTATTTAAGCTTCTCGTTCAAAAATGTTGCGCGATTTCATTTTTTGGGGAAAAGTATATTAAATGGCCGTCAAAGTCCGATTTGGGTCTAATAACTGCCCGATTAAGATTCTAGTCCAAAATGATTTTAGCGTAGAAATTACTATCTTTGGGAGGGGGTACTATAAAATTTTATTTTGATCATTTTTTTTGTACAAAAAAAGGTAATAGTAAATTCGGGTGATATTTAATTTTTATAAATGTTTAGTTATAAAATACCGGAGTTGTTAAAGTATCTAGATACAAAAATGTGGTATCTGTATCTAGATATTATTTTAGACGATGTATCTGTATCTAGATCCATTTGAAAAGTATCTTTTAACAACTCCGTAAAAATACCTATCGTAAATTATTTTTTTTTACTACATTTTTTTTACCGGTATTAATTATAAATTTTTATCTTCTTATAACTTTTTTTATTTATTTTTTTAAAAAAAAACACAAAATTTTGTAGCAAAAGGGAGAAGAGAAGAGAAGAGAAGAGAAGAGAAGAGAAGAGAAGAGAAGAGAAGAGAAGAGAAGAGAAGAGAAGAGAAGAGAAGAGAAGAGAAGAGAAGAGAAGAGAAGAGAAGAGAAGAGAAGAGAAAGCAAATTTCTTTTGAGGCAACTCAGAGATAATCATGAAGTCCTATTGGTGATAGTGTTGTTAAACGACTCAAAATATTACGCAAGTCCGAAGATTTTGCTCATAGAAGGAACAAAGGTCTAGACATTATACTGACAAAATGTCGAGTCTTAGACAATGTTTTTCTGGCTAAAATATTGAGTTAGCCGTTTCAAAAAATGGACTCAAAAACGAGCCTAACAATTCTAATTGGTTGATTCGATTTTAAATCATTTGTTTTGTTATAACGGGATTATTATTAATTTAAATATCTATTTCAAAAACATTACAATACGGAATAAGTCAGTTTTACTATCCATTTGATTATATATATAAAAAATATATATAATGCATGTTTAAGTGTGGCGAATATCGCCAAAGAATATTATAGGTGGCGGGGGGGGGGGGGGGGGTGTTGATATGGATACTAGGTTCGGATAACCGAACCTTAAAACAAATCATATAAATAAACTTAACTGCTATTCATCTTTTTGTTGAAATCTTTAAGTTTGGCCTTGTCATCGAAATTGGTCCTGAGAGTCACCAACCTGTCCTTATTGGCCAACACGATTTTCTAAAATTATTTATGGGTAGGAAAATATTTTTATTTTCTTTCTTTCTTTTCTTCTCATCTATTTTTTATTTCTTTTTTCCCCCCCTTTTTTTAGTGTTTCTAAATGATAGAAGAAATAACTTAAATAATCGAATACCCTGAGTTCCATGGTTTGATTAGCCACGTGTCTCATCAGCTGTTCGCTCAAATGTTTCATACCGTAAGGGGTCAGGAGTTCGGCTAAACATCTCAGTTCTTTCGCGATGATATATTTGATTATCAAATTATTTTATTTATTTTTTTAAAAAAAAGAAGGGATATTATAAGATTGGTTCTCTTTATTTCTTCCTGTCATCAAACCAATCAATCAACAATCAATTTATAATCAATAGATATTTATCGAAAAATAACCTCTAATATCGATGTATTCGTCGGTGGAAAAATGGATATTTTCGTTGCATTTCTTGGAACTCTTATTGGCAAGAGTGCATTTGTAAAAATCGGAATAAAAGAAAGGAGCAACTGTCATTTTCTTGAGAAATACTTCCAAATACCTGTCACATATCATTATTTTTTAAAAAAGAGAAATAAAAAATAATAAAATAACGATTATAGAATGGTGATTTAAATATTAAAAACCAAATAATTTATGGATCAAATGGGGAGGGAAGACATTAAGCTCTAAAAAAGATATATAATATAAGACGTCACTAGATGGCGTTAAACGGTTGCGAGTTGAATTTCTAGTAAAAAAATTGACTCCGGCTTTAGGCGGCTTAATAAGCCGTACAAGCCGAACCTCCTTAGTAGATTTTCGTATACAAAATTTATATTTAGTAGAATTAGATAGAAAAATTAATGTCCATCATTCTCATCTAACAGTAATCATCAGAGTTGTTAAAAGATACTTTTTAAATGGATCTAGATACAGATACATCGTCTAAAATAATATCTAGATACCGATATCTTAATCAAAAATCTATCTAGATACAGATACCATATTTTTATATCTAGATACAGGATCTAGATACTTTAACAACTCTGGTAATCATAGTGGAATATTCATCCCAACAATATTATTAATACCGATATTTTATGCCACATTTTTGTGAAAAGGTGAAAGCGCTACAATACCCGGAAGTTGAAATCTAACTCGCGAACTAAATACGTTAACTGAACATTCGCCCGACTGAACGCGATCTCTTCACCCCCCCCCGTCACTGCCATCCTCCCCTTAAACTACGAGTGTATTATCATCAAAACAAAAGTAGTTATTATATTTTTACAAATAATAATTTTATGATAAAATGTTGCATTTGAAATAGTATATTTGTAAACGATAAATTTTTGGACCTTCGAAAATTTTATTATCTCTTCAATTTTGCTGGACAATTTAAATTAAAGATTTTTTTTTCCTACCTGGACGGCCGAAATTTTTTAGGCATGGGCCTGATATTCAAAAAAATTAAACTTAAATATTTTTTTTAATTTTCGTTAAAATTGATTTTAATATATTTTTCAAGGAGTAAAAAGGTTCTGACATCTATAGGCGAAATGTCATAGTTTAGGCAATACCTTTCTGGCTATATTGAGTTAGCCGTTTTCAACACTACTCCAATCCTATGCCGACATATATATTCCCACATATTATCACAAATAGTTAACAAGTTTGACGTCCCACGATTTAAATATAGCCTCTTCATTGCAGAGTCGCCGACGATATCCTATTTCTTTTTATTCCACAGCTCTTGGAAAAAATACTCGCCCGTTGGCCACCGATGTCGTTTGTTGTGACAGACATAAAATCCTTAGGCCAGGTCAGAGAGCCTTTGGAAAACGGTCAGCAAAGCGAGACCACCCATCCCAAAACATTTTTTGGGTGGTCTACGCCAACTGAGTCTCAACGAATAATCCTCTAATTTACCCTATAACAGGATTTATGCATTCGTGGACATTGGTAAAAACAAATATATGATTTGTATATCAAGTTTATGTAATAATATACCTTCGCAATTCGTTTTGATATATTTATTGATATCAGGGGTTGTGATTCATTTTTATTCATTGATAAATATTGATACAATTCCGAATTATCATCCCTATATTCGAGATGTAAAAATTTTTTGAACCTTTCAATAATACTTTCGAAACGTATTTCAAATACACGGTAAATATGTTTTGCCTGATCCGAGTATCAAGTTATGCCGCGTACGTAATTCGAAAAAAAAGAGGCCATGTTAATAATTTAACTATGACACACTTTTTCTAGCATTTTTTTTTGCTCCACTATACAAATATTTGTATTAAAACCGACAGAGTCTAAGTTTGTCTGTATTTTGTTCACGTATAACATAGCCGTACGTACTAAAATTACCATGGTTCTCATTGTGGATACAATGAAGGGAGAAAAAAAATAACAGGAAATAGGATGTCGTCGTCGACTCTAAAACGGGCGAAATTTGTTTGGGGGTGTTAAACCTTTCCGCGCCCGGAATATTTCCCATGAACAAAAAAAATACTTGTACTTTTGGTATAATAAAATAATGATTTTGACGGGTTAACGATAAAATACGAAATAATAAATATTGTTTTTATAAATTAATATCTCTAAGTACCAACCATTAGTTTCTTTAACTGATTAAAAATATTTTGATGACAAATGATCTCGTTGGGCGCGAAAGGGTTTTAATCTATTAACAACTATTTTGTGATAATATGTGGGGAATAAATATATATGTATTATACACCTTTTTACGTGTTAATAATCATTATTTTTTACATTATTTTATATAAATCGAAAAATATGTTTATATTAATAGATTTTATTGCGTCAATCGATGCATCATACAATTCAGTAATCTTGCAGGATTTGTGGAAGGTACAATCCGAGATAACAGGAATTATTTTATAAAAAAATTTAAAATATTATTTTCCCCAAAAAAACATGAACTAATTTGAAATTTGATATAAGGGAAATAATAATAACATGATTTGAGTAAAATTAAAAATATCGTTTTGATTAGAATATCTCGAAACGATATTATCTTCGAGAGACATGGCGGGGTAAATTGGACAAGGGGGGAAACTTGACTCTCCCTATCCGCTTATATTTTTTTAAAAAAAATTTTTTGGCATTACCACATAGTATAAATGGAAGTAATCGTTTTATCTCCCTGATTGTCCACCGGTTGGGTTTGCTGCAAAAGAATAATTTTCACTAATTTGGCCATATCCATATTCACTAAATAAAAGGAAATAAATAATTTTAAATATTATGTGGTAAGCAAAAGCCTATTTCATCTCTTAGAACGCGACATGTGACGCTAAGGATGCTATCCTTAAAGACAAGATGTGCCCCTGAGTGATGCTTATATCACGGGGTGGGATGCGTTCCAGATTTGAAATTCTTTCGGTCGCTCAGCTGATTTTCCTACCCATCCATCAATTTTATTTTAGTGGGCAAACAAACATAGTGATATTTGATAAGAAAAAGATTTTTAATAAAAAATGTGTAATATCGAACCAAAATTTTCTATGGTATGGAATAAAAGGGAAATGCAGGTTCTAACTCTAACCAAGACTTCGCTCGGTCTTGCGACATCGGTGTTGGATTCCACGTTGTACATTGCCATGGCTACGATGGACCTATAATTAATATAAGTTATGGATGAGGAGTGGGGGAAGCATTAACCCATAGTTTTGACTGCAAATTTTATTATGGTGGATAGAACACCCACCCTATCTCGCCTCAATTTCATTTTGATCATAAAAGAAATAGCGGTGTACCTATGTCATTTTAATTTCTCTAAATGTATGGCCACTTAAGTAGCGTTGGAGTTGCGGCGAAATATATAATACGTCTATCCCTATATGGCAAAGCGTAATTTTTCTTTCTTATTTACATAATCGCATACTTGAAATAACGTTATTACTAATCTCTTATTATTTTTAATCATCCACAAAAAAAAATACTTGTTAAAATACAACTCCAGCTGTTGCGTAACGTATTCCCTGGGAGTAAACGCGTGATTGCATATCTTAAGGGTACCGTAATGGTTGATGGTGGTGCACAGTTCCGTAAGGGCAGTGTATTGTATGTCCAACCTTTACGATTAATAATAAATATATTTTAATTCTTAAGCAAATAATGATTGATTCGTGATGAAATGATTACCGAAAAAAAATCTAAATATTGAAAAAAAATTTATCGGTAATCCATTTCCCGTTACTTTAAAGATACAAATCTTTCTTTATTCTATAATTTATATTACACGTTCAACTCCTCCCTATATCTCCGATAACTTTCGAAGCCCGGCATATTTAAGCCATTGTTGGCTTCGCCCAAAACGTTGGCGTTTACGTTGTTAGCGCCATCTATCGCGCCTTCGTTCGTCGATTTCGTGCTCTTACTTTTGTTCTTGCGGCCATGGGTAGACGAATTGACAGACGGGTTTCCTCTTTTGACGTTTAGGGCAGAGTTGTAAAGGTGTATGGCGTGTTTGGGAAGCGTCTACATTTTGTTATTTTATATTTATTTAAAAAAAAAAATTGAAGACAACGTTTAGAAAATATTTGAAATCATCTATCCATTAATTTAATTTTTTCAACGAAAATAAAAAAATTAAATCTCAAATGCAAAAATAATCAAAATTAACAAAATGTTTTGTTGTATTAAAATAATAAGAAAAATGAGAAAATCAAAATCAAATCAAATTATTTTTAAAAAAAAAAGAAACGAAAATAAAATAGAATAGAATAACGAAAAAAAAGAATGTAAAATGAAAAGATAAAGAATAAAAAAAATTATACATATAATGTTTAAGAAAAAAACTTGATCGTTCATTAGGCAGTAATCTTCGCAAACGTAGGCCACTATGGTCCTAATTTCCTTGGCTATGTCCTCCAAAAAGCTATTGGCCATCATTAGACTTCGATCGCCTATCAAGGGTTTCTGCAAATTAAATAATGCGTTATTCATCATTATTTCCTTCCTTCCTTCCTTCCTTCCTTCCTTCCTTCTAATAAAAGAAAAAAAATTAATATCTTTTTTAAACCTATTTATATATCCTTATCTATTAAAAAATAATTTAAATCTGCACAAACACTGTATTTAATATAGTACACATTAATTTGATAGCTAGCGCTTATAAAGATACCGCCAATGATATCAGATCTCCTCTAAATATGAATCATAATAAATAAAAAATTTAATAAATAAATAAACTAGCATAGATAGAACTATTTAGGATATCGGTAAAGTATAAGATAGTAGGGAATAAACCGACTCCAATATGGGAGTAACTAACAGGAGGAAATTCATAATTTTATATTATACCTCTTCAGGGCACATGTCGTGGCAAGCGTAAATGAAGTGCGAGCATATGCGAGGGAAAGCGATTATGAACCTCATTTGGGGCGGAAATTCTAACCCCGATTTGAAGTAGTCTTCCAAGACTCCTGGATAAAAACTTTTTATTTTAAATATATATACATATATTTATTGATAATTTAGATATAAGAAATGTTTCTTTCTTTCAAAAGAAACAAAAGGTAAGAAAAGAAAGTCAGGGGGAAATTTTTTACCCTTCGTTACTTACCCCATTAGGGAACTTTCGGGGAAGAAACGATTCCATAATTTAAAAATTTTTTAGGTAAGAAGAAGCTAAAACAAACAATCACCGGAGATCCAAAAAGAAAATTTACACTTTTAGACAAGTAATATCTTTCGATAAAATATCTCCATCTTCAGCTCTATGGCCGACAATATATCTTTATAAACCCCCCACCCCTCTCACCCATTGTTTTTTTAATATTTTAGTTTATATAATTTTTAATATATATTTTGTTTCTTCCTATATTATAGGTTTTATTTTAACCTACCCACCACCATCACCACCCCCATTCCTTTTCCTGTGTTTTTAATATTTTAATTTATATATATTTTTATTTTTACTTTCTATAATATAATTTTTAAATATATTTCCTTAAAATATTTGAAATTTTAAAAAAAAAATTAAGATAAAAATATTACTCTTATAAATGATTATTTTTTTACAAATAATTGGAGTAGTGATTCCTTTTCCTGTGTTTTTAATATTTTAATTTATATATATTTTTATTTTTACTTTCTATAATATAATTTTTAAATATATTTCCTTAAAATATTTGAAATTTTAAAAAAAAAATTAAGATAAAAATATTACTCTTATAATGATTATTTTTTTACAAATAATTGGAGTAGTGATTCCTTTTCCTGTGTTTTTAATATTTTAATTTATATATATTTTTATTTTTACTTTCTATAATATAATTTTTAAATATATTTCCTTAAAATATTTGAAATTTTAAAAAAAAAATTAAGATAAAAATATTACTCTTATAAATGATTATTTTTTTACAAATAATTGGAGTAGTGATTCCTTTTCCTGTGTTTTTAATATTTTAATTTATATATATTTTTTATTTTTACTTTCTATAATATAATTTTTAAATATATTTCCTTAAAATATTTGAAAATTTTAAAAAAAAATTAAGATAAAAATATTACTCTTTATAATGATTATTTTTTTTACAAATAATTGGAGTAGTGTTGTTAAACGGCTCAATTTGAGTCGATTTTTTAAAAACAGCTGACTCGACATTATAGCCAGGAAAATATTGATTAAGCATCAAGATTTCGCCAACAGATGTTCAAGCCTATGTGTCATTTATGAGCAAAATCCGTAGGCTTGCATAATATTTTTTTTCTGGATAAGATATTGAGTTAGCCGTTTTTAAAAATCGGCTAAAATTGAGCCGAGTTTTTAGAAACAGCTGACTCGACATTATAGCCAGGAAAATATTGATTAAGCATCAAGATTTCGCCAACAGATGTTCAAGCCTATGTGTCATTTATGAGCAAAATCCGTAGGCTTGCATAATATTTTTTTTTCTGGATAAAATATTGAGTTAGCCGTTTTTAAAAATCGGCTAAAATTGAGCCGATTTTTTAAAAACAGCTGACTCGACATTATAGCCAGGAAAATATTGATTAAGCATCAAGATTTCGCCAACAGATGTTCAAGCCTATGTGTCATTTATGAGCAAAATCCGTAGGCTTGCATAATATTTTTTTTTCTGGATAAAATATTGAGTTAGCCGTTTTTAAAAATCGGCTAAAATTGAGCCGTTTAACAACACTAAATTGGAGAATTAATGATTACTATAACGAATCAATTTCGTGAATTTATTTTTTTAAACTTGAACATTAGAAATAGAAAATAAAATAAAGATGAACGAAAAAAAAAATGATTGAAATAAAAGAAAGAAATGAAAATATAAAAAAAATTATGACCCACCAAAACAACGACATTTCAGAGCATTGCAACAGTAAAGGCATCTCAAAATTCTTAAAGTTGCTGGGGCGGCCATTACTACCGCCAGATGGTCCGTTGACCGTGTTGTTTGAGCTATTGGAAGCCGCTTTCGAAGGACAAGTGTTGGAATGGTAGAAGGCGTGAAAATCGAACAAATCGTCTACCAGCTTGGAATGAAACGTTATGGTGTTTAGGTGCTTGGCGAGTGACGGGTGATCCGCGAGGGTGAAGGAGGAGACCTTGTTTACCATTCCGCCGTACGCCTAAATAAATAATAAAAAAACTTTGGTAAAGTGAGGCAAGCTAAAGATTGACTTTTTAAAATGCTATGTGGGTTAGCCCCCTTGGCATTTAAAATAATAATGAGGGATATTAAATAATAAGACTTGCAGTCTCATCCAATCCAATCTGAGTGCCCTGAGCTGAGGGTAGCACCCATCCGTGATTCCCGCTTTGTCCAAAAGTTCCGCGCCACTCTGTTGAGACCCGGTTTGCGTGAGGTCTTCGCTATCCGGCGAGGCAGATTGAAGGGTTTGGTCGGCGTTTAAATTGAGCAGCGTGTCGTGAAAACTGGTCAATATGAGCGACTCCTCTTCTTGACAGAAGGAGAGGTTCTTACATAATTTTATAAAATAATTCATTTAACCGGTTAAAAGATGAATTAGATTCATTAATAGAATATCGACTTGCTATAGAGCAAATGAGAATTGTGCCGAACCTGGGTTAGGTGCTTGAATTCGATGGCGTCGTAGCCCGACAAGTACTGGATGTAATACCTTCGCAGAACTAACCGATATTTGATGACGAGTCCTGTAAGTTTTTTTTTTAAATTTAAAATATACCCGCCAATTTTAAAAAATCGAATCGAATAGTGACAGATAACGAATAGGGCCGTTATTTTCGAATAACTCGATCCGATCCGGTCTAAAATTCAAAAAAAAAACTCAGCTCAAACAAATTGTCGTTTGCATTGTCCGGTAAATAACGATCAACTTAGAAAGACATTTTTTGTTTAATTGCAAAAATAGTGAGATATATTTTTGCGAAACTCCTGTTTTCAAAACACTATTGTTGCAAAAACAAAGGCGTTAAATGAATATCTGTCGATTTGCAATTGACATTTATGGACATTTTTAGATATATTTTGTTCTAAAAGAAAAGGAAAAACTTTTAATTTTTGTATCATTTTGTAACATGTGATACAGGTTATATAAAGAAAAAAGATAGAAAATATATATGTTGTAATATTGGTGCTTCGTAAGAAGTTTATTTTTTTTGACGAACGTTGAACGTAAACGCGTTTCATTTTCTTTTTAAATTCGTTCAATTTTAAAAAAAAATCTTAGATAAACGTATTTTAAATGAAATTTTTTAATTGGCCGTTTTATTTTAATCACGTGTGTAATATTATGTTTTAACTGGCCAATATTTATCGTTCTATAGAATAGTTTGTTAATTGCGAATAATATTATTTTACAGATTAGCATAAGTGTTAGAAAATTTTTTCTGGCCAAAAAACCTTTCAATTCTTCCATATAAAATAGCAGTTCCGGCACTGTCCTATCCTCGAATTCTTCCTTGCAGAGCCTTTTGTTGAGGTTATTGAGAGAGGAATTGGTCGAATTGGAGTTGCCGCTGCAACCGTGGTGAACGTTGGAAGAGCAAAAGAGGGCGATATTGGAGCAGTGGCCCACGTTATAACTTTGAGAGGAGTTGAAGAATTTCCCCGCGAAGTCTTGGTGCCTCACCAAATAACGCAGCTCGTCCCTGGTGAACGACAGAGCCATGTAAACGTACAGAGCCTCATTTTATATATATAGTAATAAAAAGTGACAGGTATCGCTCAATTTTCGCTCCACGATCATAAAGCATATGTACCTAGTCAATATTCATGACAAATTTAAACGATTTTTAATTTGCGAATGATTATGAGATTGTTATATATTTTATGATATTTTAAAAGGTTAAATAATATTCATATACGTTATTTGAATAATTATATTTGTCATGCAATAATATAAACGTATCTACAAAAGGCAATGACATACATAATACCTAGACTGACGATTCGTTCGTTCATTTAAAATGCATTTTTTTAAGCGTCGTTAAAAGCAAATCAGCTGGACCCGCCATTTTGGTAACACGTGTAAGTAATTATTCTCGTGTTAAAAACTACTATTAAATTGATAACTTCCCTTATTATCTCGATGATCCGGTAATTCTTTGATAGTTTGCATTCAGATATAAGAATAAATTGGCCCCTCAAATAATGATATGGGTAATAAAAATGGCGTCTCCAGCTGATTCGCATCGATGTACACTTGTAATGAATGAATCGTCAGTCTAGGTATTATATATGTCATTGATAAAAGGGTCAGTTAAATTGAATACTTATAGAAGCTGAATTGAATAATTATAGAATAGTGTGTATATATGTTAGCGTCTAATTTTTTCGGCAATATGATGTAGTTGTAGGCAGGATGAATGTGAGATTTCGGCAATGTATACATTGCCTGGTTAAATTAGGCAATGCATTCTATTTTACAAATTAATACATTTATTATTTATTTGAGATTAATTTTTTTTTAAATATATTTTTTGATATAATATTTTAATTTGTTATATTATTTTTTTAAATATATTTTTTGATTGATATTTTTTTTAATATAATGATTTTTAATGAATTTATTTTTCACGTAAATTTTTTCTTGATATATTTTTTGATAGCTAAATTTATTTTTATTTTTTGTGTTATATTATTTTTTTAAATATATTTTTTGATTGATATTTTTTTAAATATTTTTTAGATTGTATTTTAATTTGTTATATTGTTTTATGAAATATATTTTTTGATTGATATTTTTTTTTAATATAATGATTTTTATGTATTTATTTTTCACGTAAATTTTTTCTTGATATATGTTTTGATAGTTAAATTTTTTTTTATTTGTGTTATTATTATTTATTTAAATATATTTTTTGATTGATATTTTTTGATTGATATTTTTTTTTAGAGATAATATATTTTAATTTGTCATAATTTTTTTAAATATATTTTTTGATTGATATTTTTTTAAAATGATTTTTATATAATTTATTTTTAACGTAATTTTTTCTATTTTATATCTTTTTAGGTAAAAGTGACAAATGGTATAATCGTAGTTTTTGAACTTTTTTAAGTTTTTAAGTAAATTTAAGTGAAGATGTACTATAGAAAAGTTACAATTGTCATAATCGTTATTTTTTTTTGAGTTTTTTTAAAGTAACAAAGTAAATATATGTTTAGTAAACGTGTTAAATTAATATTTCAGTGAAGATGTACTATGGAAAAGTGACAATTGTCATAATCGTTATTTTTGAACTTTTTCAAAGTAAATAGATAAAAATATGTTTAGTAAACGTGTAAATTAATATTTCAATGAAGATGTACTATGGAAAAGTGACAATTGTCATAATCGTTAATATTGAACTTTTTTAAAGTAAATAGTTAAAAATATGTTTAGTAAACGTGTAAAATTAAAATTTCAGTTTAGATATGTTTTATATTTTTTAGGCACTAACAGGAATATTAACAATAAAATTCTTAAATTCGCTATTATTTATATATTGAAAATTAAAGATGAATTATTTTCCTGTAAATCGTCAATGCCTTGATATGATTAATCTCGAGATTTTAGCATGAATACATTAATGACCTCAAATGATAAATAATTTTACTATTATGATTACACCTTAATCTTCATAGCAGCCGGAAATGTTTTTTAACATAATTTATAATAGTAGACCGATGTATAAATAAAATATTTTTAGGATTAATCTATTTTTTTGTAATATATTAACTGTGAAATATTTAAATATAGAATCCTGCATCGGTTATTTGTATATCAACTAACTATAATATCTTTGACTTATTTATTTCAATTCTGTGAGTAAATATATTTTAAATATTTATTCACTTAAGTGAACTATCTAAAATTACAAGTTAGAGCTATTGAAATGTATATCTATCACTAAATACATTTTCATGTATATATTTATAAACAAAATAAATTTTAGCATTTAACTATGTTGCAATATAGCGTACATTAAATACTATTAGCCCTTATATTTATTACTAAGATTATGCGTCAAACATTATAAGTTCATCTAAGATTTTTTCGAGAAATAAAGGCCTTTGAGTAACTTCTTTTAAACTACATTTTATTGATAAATGCTAGGCTCTCTGTTTGAAGGCCTTTGGCCAGTTATTGTTTTAAATTTTCTTTAGGTTTATACTCTTTTTTTTAAAAAAAATTTTTCACAAATTTTATAAGGTCGTTATTTTTAATATTTTTGTGACATAGTGGTATATTCTTAATTATTTTTAAATAATATTTACCAAATCAGACATATCTGGTAAAATGGGTGGGAATTTTTTTACTTCCCCCTGCCCCCAACTTTATACGCAACTTAATATTATGTTAAAATACATTTTTACGCCATATTATTAATGGATATATGGTAGCAAGCCAGAAAAGATTTTATATCTTCATAATAGAAAAAACAATATTTACAATACACATTTTTTATTACTATATAATTCTATATAAATATAAATGAATCATTTATTTTGGCATAAATTATTTTTTGTATGACAATGTGAATTGCAGGACACATTAGATGCCTTGCATTTGCATCTATTGGTCCTACAATTTTGTTTGCAATGGCAACGTTTAAAACCTTGCCCAGAGCCTATTGAAGACATGCCAACCATTGTGCTAAAGGTATGACAACTTGGTGGCACATCTCCAACGTTAATAAAGTTTTTTTTTGCTAGCTCAAATTGTGACCTAGCATAATGACCAGATAAATGACCACGACTTGTTCCTAATTTATAAAATCCATCCGTGGATTTATCCGTAATTACTCCCAATAGCATTTTATGATCCAGTCTCCCCTGATCGACTGGTGGAATTGGCAATAATACGGAATCACCAATTTCTCCAGGTTTGAGTTTTTTGTCGCTACCTCTTTTCATCTTTGTAGCTTGTACTAATAAACCCTCTTTCGATATTTTCCTAATTTTCTTGATCGTATTAATATAGTTACGAATGGTATCGTCTTCGGTACCTATAAAAAATATTTGAATAATTTTACAAGATAAAAACATCACTTTATACCGGGTATAAAAATATGATTATGTAAATAATTAGATGGCTAAAATTGAATCGTAATGTAGGATTTTAAAGAAATATATTTTTTTTCAAAGAGAAAATATTTAAATATTTTATAATCACTTAAAATAATTTGTCATTAAGATTTATATTATAATTTAAAAAAATATTTCTTATAAAAATATATATCAAGATCAGGGAGAGGGGCAATATTCTTGCTGAGAGTTCGGATTATTTTCAAATTCCGCTGTAAAGTGTTATAAGATAAAAGAGGCGACAAAAAACTCAAACCTGGAGAAATTGGTGATTCCGTATTATTGCCAATTCCACCAGTCGATCAGGGGAGACTGGATCATAAAATGATATTGGGAGTAATTACGGATAAATCCACGGATGGATTTTATAAATTAGGAACAAGTCGTGGCCATTTATCTGGTCATTATGCTAGGTCACAATTTGACCTAGCAAAAAAAACTTTATTAACGTTGGAGATGTGCCACCAAGTTGTCATACCTTTAGCACAATGGTTGGCATGTCTTCAATAGGCTCTGGGCAAGGTTTTAAACGTTGCCATTGCAAACAAAATTGTAGGACCAATAGATGCAAATGCAAGGCATCTAATGTGTCCTGCAATTCACATTGTCATACAAAAAATAATTTATGCCAAAATAAATGATTCATTTATATTTATATAGAATTATATAGTAATAAAAAATGTGTATTGTAAATATTGTTTTTTCTATTATGAAGATATAAAATCTTTTCTTATAGGGAAGGCTTGCTACCATATATCCATTAATAATATGGAGTAAAAATGTATTTTAACATAATATTAAGTTGCGTATAAAGTTGGGGGAGGGGGGAAGTAAAAAATTCCCACCCATGATACCAAATGTGTCTGATTTGGTAAATATTATTTAAAAATAATAAAGAATATACCACTATTAAAAAACTAAAAGTGACTATATGATGTTACAAAAATATTAAAAATAACGACCTTATAAAATTTGTGAGAAATTTTTTTTAAAAAAAAGAGTATAAACCTAAAGAAAATTTAAAACATAAACTGGCCAAAGGCCTTCAAACAGAGAGCCTAGCATTTTTTAATCAATAAGATATAGTTATTATAATGTTTGACGCATAATCTTAGTAATAAATATAAGGGCTAATAGTATTTAATGTACGCTATATTGCAACATAGTAAAATGCTAAAATTTATTTCGTTTATAAATATATTCATGAAAATGTATTTAGTGATAGATATACATTTCAATAGCCCTAACTTCTAATTTTAGATAGTTCACTAAAGTGAATAAATATTTAAAATATATTTACTCACAGAATTGAAATAAATAAGTCAAAGATATTATAGTTAGTTGATATACAAATAACCGATGCAGGATTCTATATTTAAATATTTCACAGTTAATATTTTAGAAAAAAATAAATTAATCTTAAAAATTTTTATTTATACAACGGTCTACTATTATAAATTATGTTAAAAAACATTTCCGGCGGCTATGAAGATTAAGGTTTAATCATAATAGTGGAATTTTTTATCATTTGAGGTCATTAATGTATTCATGATAAAATCTCGAGATTAATCAAATCAAGGCATTGACGATTTACAGGAAAATAATTCATCTTTAATTTTCAATATATAAATAATAGTGAATTTAGGAATTTTATTGTTAATATTCCTGTTAGTGTCTATAAAATATAAAATATATCTAAACTAAAATTTTAATTTAACACGTTTACTAAACATATTTTTACCTATTTACTTTAAAAAAACTAAAAAATGTTCAAAAATAACATCATGACAATTGTCACTTTTCCATAGTACATCTTCACTGAAATATTAATTTAACACGTCTAAACATATATTTACTTTGTTACTTTAAAAAAACTCAAAAAAGAATAACGATTATGACAATTGTAACTTTTCTATAGTACATCTTCACTTAAATTTACTTAAAAAACTTAAAAAAGTTCAAAAATTACGATTATACCATTTGTCACTTTTACCTAAAAAATTAGCAATCAAAAGATATAAAATAGATAAAATTACGTTAAAAATAAATTATATAAAAATCATTTTAAAAAAATATCAATCAAAAAATATATTTAAAAAAATTATGACAAATTAAAATATATTATGTCAAAAAAAAATATCAATCAAAAAATATATTTAAATAAATAATATAACACAAATAAAAAAAAATTTAGCTATCAAAATATATATCAAGAAAAAATTTACGTGAAAAATAAATACATAAAAAATAAATACATAAAAATCATTATATTAAAAAAAAATATCAATCAAAAATTATATTTCATAAAACAATATAACAAATTAAAATACAATCTAAAAAATATTTAAAAAAAATATCAATCAAAAAATATATTTAAAAAAATAATATAACACAAAAAATAAAAATAAATTTAGCTATCAAAAAATATATCAAGAAAAAATTTACGTGAAAAATAAATTCATAAAAAATTATTATATTAAAAAAAATATCAATCAAAAAATATATTTCATAAAATAATATAACAAATTAAAATATAATCTAAAAAATATTTAAAAAAATATTTAAAAAAATATTTAAAAAAATATCAATCAAAAAATATATTTAAAAAATAATATAACAAAAATTATATCAAGAAAAAATTTACGTGAAAAATAAATATAAAAATCATTATATTAAAAAAAAATATCAATCAAAAAATATATTTCATAAAATAATATAACAAATTAAAATATAATCTAAAAATATTTTTAAAAAAAATATCGATCAAAATATATTTAAAAAAATAATTAAAATATATTACCTCTAAAATTTATTTAAAAATTTATATAACACAAAAAATAAAAAAAAATTTAGCTATCAAATGATATATCAAGAAAAAATCTGCGTAAAAAATAAATATATAAAAAATTATCATATTAAAAAAAATATCAATCAAAAAATATATAAAAAAATTAATATAACAAATTTTAATATATTTAAATATATTATTTCAATATATTTAAAAAAAAATATCAATCAAAAATTATATTTAAAAAAATAAAGAAAAATTAAAATATCAGAAAAAAAATACATAAAAAATAAATATACAAAAAATGATCCTATAAAAATATTATATTTTAAAAATATTATATTTTAAAAATATTATATTTTAAAAATATTATATTAAAAAAAACATATTATATCTAAAAAATAATGTTGTAAATTATAAAGAAAAATATTAATCTTAAAAAATTTTAATAATAAAGACAAAATTATTAATAATATAATATTACAAAAATAACACATTGCCTAATTTAACCAGGCAATGTTCACATTGCCGAAATCTCAAATTCATCCTGCCTACAACTACATCATATTGCCGAAAAAATTACGGCAATGTATACATTGCCGGAAAATTCACATTGACGCTAAGATATATATATATATATATCAGAGACCTGCAGGCCCGGCCCTAAGCCCGGCCCGTATTTTAAAATTTTTAAATATACCCAGGCCGGGCCTAAAAAAATTTTTTTTAATATATCTGGGCCGGGCCTAAAAATTTTTTTTTAAAATATATCCGGGCCAGGCCTAAGATTGTTAAACCCGGGCCGGGCCTTAATATTTTTTATAAAAATTTTTACATTATGAGTTAATGGTCATAAGGTTATATTACATTATAGTTATGATTAATATAATATTGGGTGATGGTTAACACACCACCCACAGATCGATCTAATTATTAATTTCCTGCATATACAAAGTATTAAAATATTTTTTTATAATTCATATCTAAATTTTTACAACATATTTTACCAAAACAATCAAATAAAGGAATATCTTAAATAAGCCCCAATATTCAAGTATTAATAATATATATTTTTTATAATTCATATCTAAATTTTTTGAATATTTACCAAAACAATCAAATAAAGGAATATCATGGCACAAAATACTAATGATATAATTAATAAAATTAAAAATAATATTTATTCTTTTAGAAATACAAATAATAATTTAAAATCTGAAATATGGGCTAAATTTAACATCATCATAGATGAAAATAAAAAAAACATTGGCTACGTACAATGTAAGAATTGTTCAAGTATATTATCTTATAATTATAAACATGGTACATCACATCTAAAAAGACATAAATGTGATGGTAAATCCATGAAAATTAATAAATTTTTTTACACCTGAAAAACCAACCTATAAATGTAATATAAAATATTTAAAAATTATAAAATATATTATATTAATATTGTGCAATTAGATTATATTTTCAAAATACTATTTATTATACATGCATTTAATAGCGATTTATTTTATTTTATAAATTAAATAGTAAATTAAATAGTAAATTAAATAGTAAATTAAATAGTAAATTAAATACAATATATTATATTCTCAAAATATTTTCCATTTTTATAAATTAATTATTAGTTTTATTTTTTTTAAATGCAAAATAAAATATAGTATATGCTCAAAATATTATTACCATTTTTATGAATATTAGTTTTATTTTTATAAATGCAATATAAAATATAGTATATGCTCAAAATATCCATTTTTATAAATAACAGTTTTATAATTTTTATAAATTCAATATAATATTCTCAAAATATTAGTTTTTTTCATGTATTTTTTAAATAATAAGCGATAATATTCGCTGAAAAATATGGTAAAATACCTCATGGGTGAATTTTTGTATATACCAGGTCGAATATAATTTTAAGAAATTCTGAGCTGGGCCTGAATTTTTTTTTAAATATCCGGGCCGGGCCTTAAATCTTTAAATCCGGGCCGGGCCGTGCAAATGGTGCCTCTGCAGGTCTCTGATATATATATAAAAGAATTGGAAATATAGAACTAATCGACCACATATTTTATTAGTGTTGTTATAAACGGCTTATTTTAACTCAATATTTTAGCCAGAATAATAGTGCCTAAGTCTAGAGATTTCTGTAATATATGTCTAGAACCTTTGTTCCTTCTACGAGCGAAATCTTCAGGGCTGGCGTAATATTTATCTGGATGAAATATTGAGTTGGCCACAACACTACTTGAAACCTATTCTCAAATAATACGTCTTCAATAAGAGACATGGTCGATATTTATCCTGAAATAATTATTTCAACCCTGAAGGGTAACAAAATCCTGTGCTGAGAAACATCCTAATTTTTGGCGAGATTTCTATAATATATGTCTAGAACCTTTGTTCCTTCTACGAGCGAAATCTTCAGGGCTGGCGTAATATTTTTCGGATGAAATATTGAGTTAGCCGTTTTTAAAAAATCGGCTCAAAACGAGCCGTTTAACAACACTATATTTTATGAAGTTTTCTTTAAAGATATAAAATGAAATAATATTCAAAATAAAATATTTTAAATTATTTATGTTCAGGAGTGTGAGTTTGAGGGAACAATAAAATTACCTTATAAATTATTTCTTATAAAAATTTTTAAACGAATACTTTAGGTCCTAACAGGCCATGCTGATCGTTGAATACCGATATGAGTTCCTTCAATGCGACCCTAAGATATTTCCTCCGTTCTCTCCTAATTTTGACGCTTGAAAATAAATATACATATTAAATAAATGCACTTAATTCTTCTATTTCCTTTCTTTCCTTTCCATTCTTTCTTTCTTTTCCTTCTTTCCTTTATATTTTGGCAAAATAAAATCAAAAAAATAAAGTAAATTTACGTTTCTTGTATGGTTACTATGTAGCATTCCTTAATTTCCGCTATCCGTTTAGCGTATCTGTTAAAAATAAATACAAATAAACAAAAAAAAATAATGATAATTACCCTTTAATGGTCTCGAAGTAATTCAAAACCGCGGCGTATATATTGATCGATTCGTCCCTGAAGATGGTCACGACGACGTTATTTCTGAGGGCCGCCTTCCACACCTCCCAAGCGTCGTTGAAGCTAGGGTTCGAATTGGTTTCGCCTTCCTTCCCCGCCAACAACGATGCCATCCCGTTCGCGTTGCTACCGACGCTGGAATCGGCACCGGTTTCCCCGGAGAAATTAGAAAAAGTTACGAGAGTAGGGTGGCACACCAATCCTATAAGCACTATCCACCGTTCCATCTTTTCGAGGGATAGGTATTCGCAGTGCATCTTAAAATGTTGTATGCGTGCGTGTTTTTTTTAAACAAATTTTTATATCGCTCGTCATAGTGGCCTGCGTTTCCGCACACGTAAACGATCACGTAAAATAAAAAATAATAATAATGTTGTCGGAGAAATGGGGGATTAATATTGGAAATAACTCGGTTGGTTTATAAGTTAATTGCTTTCTCTTTATTTCTTTTCTTCTCTTTTAATTTATTATAAAAGGAAAAAGTTTGTTATTTTATTTATCGGAATATTTATTTTCATTTAATTTATTATAAAGGAAAAATAGTATGTTATTTTGTTTATCGGAATATTTATTTTAATTTATTATTTATTATGGAAAATGATATGGCGTAATTTTAATATATAAATATAATTTTTATTGTAAATTATATGTTTTTTTTTTGTTTTTCTTTTTCAAATTTTTTGGAAATTATTCTTGGCTAAAATCAATAAAATAAAAGAAAGGAAAAGAAAGTAAAAATAATATAGAAATTTGTTTCAGTAGTAACAATAGGGTTCAGTGATAATAATAAGCCATTTATTAAAGTGAGCCATTTGTTAAAATGTTATTCGATATGATGCATTTATAGTGAATTCAGACGTTTTTGATTCCGATTCTTTAAGGTCCTAGCGTATTTTTCGCTGCGTATACAAATGGCAGCCAAAAAATCCGAATGTAAATTTTTTAGAGATCAGCTGATAAAGAATCAATTATCAAATATGTAAGTTCCCTTGAATGCCCTTAAAAGTCATGTGAGTTATGAAAAGAACTTATGAGGAAAAGATAAAATATGGGGGGAGAAATAGGAAATCAGCTTAATATATAAAAGGGATCATTTTGTACGTGAACATTATAAAGGTATGCGACAAATAAGAGCGGCCCAGCTGCTAAGCCGACATGAATGCGTCCTTATTATGTCTCAATACTATTTTTAACAGATAGTGTTTAAATCAAGAGAGCAATGGTCCACACTAGATGAGTCTAACGCCCCAAATTCTAGGAATACAAATATGGGTAGAAGATATTATCTTAAATGAGAAAATGGAATACTATAAATAAAAAATATAACTCCTTAAGATATGGCCCATCAGTGACGAATATTCTCGTATTTAAAACAAATAAATTTTAGATAATCTTATATTTCGAAGATGATTAAAATTTAAAATTATTAGATTTTTAAGACCTTTATATTTAAAAAAAAAATATATAACATTAAATACAATATAAATGTACAATTTTGTATTTAATTTAAAAAAAAAAAATATCTATCGAATATCTTATTAGTGTTTGGATGGGGATATATATGACCCCGTTGTTAATTTAGAAAAGAAAGATAAACACAAACATGTGATATAAGAAGAGAAGAAGAAAAAAAGGATTTTTATACATGTATACATATTTACCGTGTCAGTCTGGGCCGGGGCATAACTGGTGCCCATATTAGTGACTCCCAACATACCCGCGTTACGCCATTCGTTAGCCGTTAGGTTACGGCGAGTAAAGAGTTCCGCTAGACCGCTGCCTTTTTTTAAAAAATATATATATTCATTGACTTCTTTTCAATCATTCACTTAATTGTTTCGGAAATTATCAAGTTATGAAATAATGATTGAATGGATGTATAGTTATATAATTTACGAAAACAAGCGGAAAGCAATCGCCTCGCGTGAGGTCTCAATTGATCGCGAAGGGCGGGAAGCGGAGCTGAAGCGGATTCCGAAGATCCACCTATGGTTAATATTTTTTTAAAATATTTAAAGTGTTACATTGAAAAAGTTTAAAAATCGAGTCCTTTTTTTATGGCGGGAATAATCGTGTAAAAATATTTAAAATGCGCATGCGCGCATATTATTTGGAAATTATACTTCCTTGAGTGGCGCTTCCCCCTTCCGTTAGTCTTTGCAAGGCGTGACCGAGCCTGTGAAAGGTTGGGTCCAGCGGGGCCGAACGGGCCGAGTGATATAGTCCAACTATTCGGTGCCTGTCGGGTATCGAGAAAAGGAGATAGGTCAGTGAAATGTACAAGGTCGTAAGATCGAGGTACGCCACGGTTAAATCGTAACAAGTTGTCTGAATAAGGAGTTATATCATACGTTTAATTTTAAAATTGTAGCATGTACAACAAATCAGCTGCGTGATACGCCATTTTTTGGTTTACCTAAAAGGGCCTCATTTAATAGTAAACGCGTAATGTTCGGGCGTCGCGTTATTTAAAATATAAATACGAAACATTACGAATGATAAACGCTATGACAAAATTTGAAGGAAAAAAAACGTATACGTTGCGACGCGTCGATAAAGAAATTCGCGATCCGCGATTATAAAAAAAAAATAATGGCGAATTCGATTTTTAAAAAAAAAAGGAGTGGGATTTTTCTAAAAAAATATGGCGCCAAATGATTTTGATCAATGAACATATGAATATTAGGCATCGGCAAAAGATCGGGTTCGAGCCCGGTCGAGTCTAATATTTGTTTTTTTTCAAAAAATCGGGCCGGGCCGGGTCGGGTTTCGAAATCTTTTTTAAATTATATCTTAAATTTGTATATTTAAATTTTTGCTCCTTATTCGCAATATAGTATCCGAAAAATCCTTTGCCCATTCCAAACATAAATTTCCTATCGGAAAATAGTATCCAATTTGTATTGCGCAGAGTTGTTAAAGGATCTAGATACAAGTATTGATAAAAATATCTGTATCTAGATATTATTTTAGACGATGTATCTGTATCTAGATCCATTTAAAAAGTATCTTTTAACATCTCTGGTATTATGTAATGGTTAAAAGAAGAAGAATACACAAAAAGTCACGTGTTATTTATTTTCGCGCAGTTAAACATAAACTAAAGAGGGGCAATCAAACCAAACAATGAAAATAAGAAAAATAACCATAAGAAGCAAAAATGCGATTAAATATAAAACGCTATTTAACACCACCCCCCCCCCTTACCTAAATAGGCAACGGGGGTGGGTGGGATGGTATAGACCTCGATCGATTTTACATATATTCTAGGTAAAGATTCTTGTATATACTGATTGGGAAAAAAACAAAGTTTCAAGGACTGGATACATAATTTTATCGCAGAGTTCAGATCACTATATTAGCAAAATCTTGAACTGCGCTGCAGAATTTCAAGGGACACTTTGAGATCCCTAAATCTCCGGCTCCGGTAGAGTTAAGGGGCTATCATATTTCGGATTCGTCAATTACAACGTCTTCATTAACTCGTATATACCAAATTTTAGCAAAATCTGAGATGGTCGGGTTGTAGGGTGATTTTGATTTGATGCGGAATGACCCTTTGGCTACTAAAATCTTAATTTTATATTTCACTGATTCGCACCGATTATACGCTTATTTCCACATTTAATATAATTATATTAAGCACCCAATATCCAAAAAAAAAATGCTAATTCCTAATAAATAGTAATAATATAAAAAAATATCATGGATATCGAATTCAATTTTATAAACTGCTGTTACAACATAAAACGCCATCTAACGGAAATTTATTTATTTATTTTTATAAAACGATAACAAACTTTGTAGTTGGATATATAAGTTGAGAAATATTTATATCTTCCTAAATATTTTTTGAAAAAAAATGAAAATTAAAAGTTGACTTAAATATTAAATGATGGTTTTTAATAGTTTGTCCCTGGTATATATTTGATATATTAGCTATTAAATCCGTTATAAAAAAAACTATATTATAGAAATATTTCAAATAAAAAAAATCAATTATATAAAAAATTAACCTATTCCCACATGTGAAAAATTTGAATCTTTTCACTAATTTTTATTAACCCAATTTTTTTTTAACCAATCGTTATCTCTTCCCTTATAGGACATATGTCAAGCGGAAGGAACCTTAAAAAATTTTTTTTTTAATATAGGCGGCAAAATAAGACCCCATGATGTTGAAAATTTGAATGATGAACTTCTTCTCCGTTTAATGGCGATTTCCAGGGGTTTACCCAGGTTGGCCAGTTTTTCCTCCTATTTAAATCATCGGGAAATTTTGTAACAAGGTTTTATACGATCGGATAGTGTTGTTAAACGGCTCGTTTTGAGCCGATTTTTAAAAACGGCTAACTCAATACTTCATCCAGAAAAATATTACGCAAGCCTGAAGATTTTGCTCATAGAAGGAACAAAGGTCTGGACATATATTAACAAAATCTCAAGGCTTAGGCAATATTTTTCTGGCTAAAATATTGTGTTAGCCGTTTTTTAAAATCGGCTCAAAACGGGCCGTTTTACAACACTACAATCAGATGCCCTTCCCTGACATGAACCCCTTTTAGGTCGTTCATACAACCTCCGTCGAGGAGACGGTGATCCTATTCTAGAACCCAGACCACGGGGAAACCTTTTAGACCTCCATTAGCCGCCAAAAGACGTTGCCACTCCCCCGCCATGATGAGGCTGAAGGTATGGGGATTGAACGATAACTAAAATATATGTATAAAAAAATGTTTTAAAAGTATTTTGGGCTCTGTTTAATAAGAGTTTCTTGAGCAAAAAATGAGAGCTAACCCTGTAAATTTAAAAAATTTGTGCTAAACTTCATATTAATTAGAACACCATTATAAAAAGATATTTGAGGCTTATCCATGTAAATTTAATTTCTCGGGTCAAAACATGGATCGTTATTTCCCCGTTCGAGCTACCAATTATTCCCTTTTTAACAATGGCCTTTGATTGGGCATCGTTTCAAAGTGGTACCACTTCTTGGAGGCCGGTCCGATCTCCTATATTGCCGATATTAACTTGATATCAGCCGATTATATTTCGTATTCTGTAAGCTCCACTAATCGTTTAAATATTTTAATGCGTTCCATCTAGTGTCGCAAAAATCGTTCCATCGGAGTCGATTTTTTCTAAAAAAAACGGGCAACTTCACTGTTTTATCTAGTAAAATATATGAGATTTTGGTCATAGATGGCGCAAAGTGTTTGGACATCTATTAACTGAATCTCGAGGCTTTGGTATCACTACATAATAAACCTACTCCATCTATATACTTTTTAAGGCCGCATTCCTAGTGGGATGTGATCCGACACGATTTAAACAGCTGATTGATTTTTTTTTAAATCTGTTTATGAGATCAATTTTATTTTAAATAATAAAATATTGGTTTTAATAAAGAAAAATTGATTCTCGTAAACCGATTTAAAAAACCGATCAGCTGTTAAATAGTGTTGGATCGGATCCCACTATGAATGCGGTCTAATAGTATAACCATCTATAATTTAACTATACCACGTTAAAGTAAGTTATTTAAATATATTAAAATGATCAGAAATCACTTTATTTGTATGATAACATTTAAATCTATTTACATATTATCTGTAATATAACAAATAAATATATCATCAATTCCAAATATATATTTTTTTTTAATTAAGACGCCATTTTATCGGATCGGAAAATTTAATAATATTGGCCGATAATCGATATTTTAAAATATATGGAATATCGCTCGATCCGATAAAAAGATATCGGTTCATCACTACTTAAAATATTTTTAAAAAATAATAAATCACCTTTAAAAATAACAAAAAAGGGGTTAGCTAATATTTACAATAACAATATCATCATATTAGATCTATTAATCCTTAGTTAGAGCGGAAATTATAAAAAATTAATAAATAGATTAGCATTCCTAATTATTACTCTAACCCCCCATTGTTTCTGGCACAATCGGTGCTTTTGGACCCAGAGCAAAGGATTATTTTTCAAGGCACTTGGTCAAAAAATTGCACTTAATTTTGGGTAATCCTCGGGAAGGTTTTTATACTTCAATGAATTTCAATGAAAATTTGTAGGTTTCATAGTATACGTGTTAATTTTTTTTAATATATTACATTATTTTATTACCTTAATTTTCTTTTTATATATCCCAATATCTTATATTGTAAATTGTAATCATTTTTAAATTAAAATAATAAATATATATAAATAGAATAAATTGTACTAATAAGGTGATAAGGGAATAATAAAATTAAAATGAGACAAAACTTAGTACCAAACTTGATAATGATCTCTTGTCAGATTCCTTGTCAAAAGATAAACATGTACAGTAATTATGCAAGGGGGGGCTTTGCATAATTTACATATTCTTAAAATGAATAAATAACTATTAGGTTTTGAAGCATTAAAATTAGATAGGATTGTGTCTGATTTAGAAAAAAAAATGTTTCAATAACTTAGTTTATTATTATTTATTCTAATAACTTATTATACCTGTTTATAAGAGGAAAATCAAAAAAAAACCTTTTTAAAAGAGGCAATTATATTGATAATAATATAGATCTAATAATTTTTAATGTTTCAATAATAAATAATTAATAATCTATGAGATAACCATCATATAAAATAAATTTTAATATATTTACTATGGTTGTTAAAAAGCCAGATTATGGGTCAATTTTTTAAAATAACCCAATTATTTAACAAAATAAGATTATGTAGCCCTCAAAATTTGGCCAATAGAGGCTCGAGTCTTTCTACCACCATCTAAAAGGAAAATTTCAATGCTTACATAATATTATTATGGTATAAATCTTAAAATCAACCTGTAACTGGTTTTTAACAACCCTAGCATTCAATATATCATTTAAATCTTATTTCTAATTTTTTTTTAAATTAATAAAACATATTTAAGATAAAATTTATATAAATAAATAATTTTAATTTATATATATATGCAATATTACTATGTCAAAATTTATTTGAAGCGCATCAATATTAGTTAGGAGTTCTGTCACATGGTCCTTGAATTCTAAATAATCAACAAATGTGTAATAATATTGGTCAAGATTCCTGAGAACCTCATTCTTTACAGCAATCAAGGGGGCAAAAGTATTCTGTTTATAATAAATATTTTTATTTATACAATTATAATGATGTATAATATTCAAATAATGTGTGGCATAATAGAAAATATCTAACTACCATATTTCCTTTAACATCTATAGCTGGAAACTTTTTAGATATAAGTTTGAGACATGGCTCCAATGATTTATCAGTCAAATAGGGAGGCTTACTTTTTGGATCATTACATGTCTAAGATAAAATATTTATTATAATAAATAACATAAGACTATAAATTGCACCTTCTTAATATTGTACAATCGTGTTAATAGCCCATTTCCTCTATTATTTAGAATAATTAATTTTTCGGCGATCTTTTGTTGCCCAGGTTGAATTGCTCGAGCCATGCACTTTAGATTTATTAACTTAATGAGGAAAATATGTACTAATAATGCTTATTTCTTAATTTAGGATTTTGGTTCATCAAGTGCTAAAATTTTGAAGTGATAGTACTGTATTGTATTGGTTGAATCATTAATAAAAAATAATACTATATCTACTGATCAGCCAAAAAATTTTTATTTAATCATATTTATTTATAGATTCTTCTATGAACATTAAATCTCAATATTGATAGTAATCATCAAAACTTACACTCGAGAATTTAAACTTAAAATTAGCCATCACCCACCTTTAAAGTAATTAAATTATACTGTAGTTCTCGGGTATAGGCTATTTTTTGCCCCACTCCTTTTTAATAAGCCTATAGAGGTTTAAGCAACATTTTTCGAAATGTTGTGCCTACAGGTACGTGCAGCTTGCCCACAAACGTGTAAAGGGCTCCTCATTTTCTCCCCCTAATTAACTATCCAGTTTGATGTATTTGAGGAAAACCTAGCGTATCTCTGTAGTACCCACAACCAAAGGGCGAAAACGCTTTTATCACGTATCACCAGGGTTGGGCAAATTTTCAGAAAATTGTATTCGGATACAGATACAGATACTTTATAAAATTTTGTATTTAAGATACAAGATAATTTAGAAAAATTTCAATAAGAGACAAGATACTTGTATTTTTTTTAAAAAAAGTATCTAAGATACAAGATACTTTTTTTAAAAACTTTAAATAGTCAAAATCAAAATGTATAAAGCTTTATTTTCTTATCTATAATATAAATTTATAAAAAAATATTTAAAATAAATTGTAGAAAATAACAAATTTATTTTATAATGCAATATTCCATTTAATAATTATATAATTAGTAAATAATAATAAATCAGCATCATAAATCAGCATTATTTTTTAATATTATTAATTTTTCAAATGATTTATCTTTCAATCTTTGACGATTTGGTCTATTAACATATTAGCAAAGCTAAATAATCTTTCAACGGGGGCTGAGGAGGGTAATATTGTGTTATATTTAATAAATATTTCTTTTATATATTTATAACTATTTAACATATTTATACTCCGCCTGTCATCTTTCATATAATTTAGGACCTCTATTTCATAATCATTTGTTGAATTATTAGAATTGGGTGTGGTACTTTTAAGGCAAAAGTAATCATCATCTTCATCAATTGAAGATTTTGTTGAAGTATTAATTTCAATATTATTTTTAAAAACAATTAAAACTTCATGTAATAACAAATCCTGAAGGTATTTTTTTTTCTTTTTCACCATCAAATCAACGTTTTTAAAATAGGGATGAGAAATAGTTTCCAAAAATGCATTTTTTAAATTGTTTGCAAAATCATATATATTTTTAAATCTTTTATTTAAATAATTTTCTATGGCAATAGCTAATGGTTTGCAAAATTGTAGAATGGTTTGAATTAAATTTGTAATTTTTTTTTAACGACATTTAAAATTGGAGCTGATTCTCCATAATAGCAGTTGATTTCAATCTGTATTTTGTCAATCGCTATAGTCAATGGGGCCATTATATTGCAATATTCTTCTAAATATTGAATTTCAATATCTCTTAATTTAGGAAATTCTAATTTTTGACATAATTTAGGAAGTTCGCCTTTAAATTTTAATACTATAAAGACTATCATACAAACTATTCCATCTAGTGCAACAAGGTGTAACTAATTGTTTTCCTAAAACTGCTTTGATAAGTTCTGCAGTTTTAAGCCTATTATTTGCATTCCATAGCTTAGTACATTTATTGCAGGATGATGAATTTTAAAAATGTTAGGAGAATCCTTAATAGCTCTCTCGACATCTGTTGTGGCAATTATACTTATATGACACAAACAACGAATGTGTTGAGGCAATGTTATTGAGGCTTCTTTAGACCCTTAAATAAACAAATAAATGATAAACTCTGAACTAAGAGATTTCGCTATAAAAATATTGTTTACATGTCTAAAATTGTATATAAATATCATTTATATACAAAATTTGGAGTAATTTTTTTTCAAATTTTCAAAATAAAAGAAAACTTAACATTTATACATGCAGGAAAATGGGAAATGATAGATTTACACTAAATGGCCTATTATCAAGAAATAAGAGCTATATTTTTCATATTTATACACATTTTTCAAGTCGATAAAAATTTACAAAGTTAACCCAGTTAAATGATTTCACACTCTATATTTGAACATTTGTTTTCCATTATAATTTACTTGAATAAAATCAACATTCAACTAATCCTGGTACATATATTGCTATATTAATTTTATTCAATTTTATTTTAACAATATAAATTTATATAAAATAACCTGAAATATATTGCTATATCAAAAAATTTCTGGGAGATAAATTATTAATTGTGTATTTAGAATCTTATTGCAAGGCTTACATTTATACAATATATCTTCATATTTTAGATTGTAGAGATTAAATTAATTTAATAATATAGATAAATATAAACTACAATGTAATTATGATAGTAATAATATATTCACAGACTTAATCAAATATCATGATCATTAATATTAATGTTTTGTCAATTAGATGCACTTAACCATATCTTGTATATTAAGTTATTATTTTTTTAAATTATAATTATTTAAATCAGATTCTAAGGTATAGTGATATCTATTGTCAGCTTTTTAATTGAATGTTATATATCGTTTTTTAAATTTTGATCACTCCAAATATAAATAGTTGTTAATTTTTTAAATATAATTTTTTATATATAAAATTTAGAATGATTGAGAAAGAATAAATATAAAGAAATACATTTTAAATTATAATGTTCCTAATTTTAAATGTTACTTGCATACTTTAAAGCTTTTACCTTGTGATAACCTATTCTATAAAATTGAAACACACAGCAACCCCTAGCAACATTTACAAACATTTGCTCATTTTTTATACAAATTTTTTTTATCGAATTAATTATGTTAAAATTTATAATAATTTGATATAATTTTTTAATTAAATAGTTTAAAAAAATAAATTACTCTTAATGAGGCCAGGCCAAAGCTTAAGTACTTTTATCCCCATAATGCTCTTAATTAATTTACCAAAATTAATATAATTTTGAAAACTTATTAACCATCTGGAAAATATTTATACCAATTTCTAACAGAAATCTTGAGATTTTCCATAGTTCTCATTCTATTGCCTGTAGGATTGGCTACATTTCTTGATAAAAAACTGTGTCACTAATATTTTGTTAAATTACTTCAACTGGTCAAATACATGTATTTTGGCGAAATATTTGTCTTAAAAATTAATTACGAATCTTAACTTTTTATTAAATCTTATTTGGTGACATTTAAAACAATGATATTCATGTTATATACTTAATTTTTATTATTGTTTTTTAAAAATATTAAGCATAAATATATTAGAACTAATAACTATTTATAATACACAATTTTAAATCAATGTGAATTATAAAAAAATTATATGTATAAACCCTCATATAAAACTATAAAATGGTTGTGAATTAAATATATTAAACGGATAAAACTAGTGGTAAAGAAAAACTATAAAATAAATGTTAATTATAAAATATAAATGAATATAACCACTATAAATGAATCACTTAAATGACCCAAAATATAAATTTGATTTTTTTGAGCCTTTAAAATTTATATACATAAAAAATTTAAATGTTGGAAATATAAATTAATACACAAAAAGTTTTTTAGGAATAATTGTATTTTGTATGTTATATATTTATATGTAAAATCAAATTTTCGTAAGGATTGAGCTAATTTTTCAATTACATTATCTGTCGTCAAATGCTTATTAATATTCAAAAGATCCAAACTCTTCAATCCACTTTTAGAAATTGTACTACTTAATATGTTTTCAGAGACCAGCAGGCTTTTATATCTCTGGGCCGGGCCATAAATTTTTGAAATTTTTTTAAAAAATATCCGGGCCGGGCAGCGTTTACATGACAGAATTTTCACTGGATGCAAACCCCCTTCAAAAACATTTGCCGATCCTCCTAAAAAAATTTGTCACCTACCAACTATCAATATTTTGTAAATATAAAGGATTTATTTTGTAAATATAGAGAATTTATTTTGTAAATATAAAGGATTTATTTTGTAAATATAAAGGATTTATTTTGTAAATATAAAGGATTTATTTTGTAATTATAATGGATTTATTTTGTAAATATAAAGGATTTGTTTTGTAAATATAAAGGATTTATTTTGTAAATATAAAGGATTTAATTTGTAAATATAAAGCATTTATTTTTTAGATAAATTCAATTAAAACCTCGAATATTTACAATGAATTCATTATTATAGCATTATGAGCTTGCTGAAATATTTAAACCTTTTAAAATTACATTTATAAGGATAGCAGTATTTGGAAAACAATGTATATTATTGTTTGCAATGTATAGATTTGGTCGATGAATTGTATTATAATAGTTCTATGATAAAAGTATTAAATTATACTGCAATAAATTTGTCCTATTTAATCTCAAATTTAATAGATAACCCCAAAAATTTTTTATCCTACCCCCATTTTAGCCGCCTACCCCTTGCCCTCCTTAAAAAATAGGAAAACTGTTCCTACCCCTCCCGCTCATGTAGACGCTGCGGCCGGGTTGTATATTTTAAAACAGCCTATATGTGAAATCGTTATTATTAGCTATAAAAATCAAAAAGAAATATAATTTATTTTTTAAAAATCCAGGGCGGGCTTGAAAATTTTATTTTAAAAAAAGCCATAGGGGTCCTAAAAATTTACCCGAGCCGGCCTGTAAACAAATGATACATCTGCAGGGCTCTGTTATTCTTTTTAAAAAAGAGAATGTTCTTTCATTAGTTTACTAATGGGAAGAGTTGCTAATATATATAAACCCTTTTAATACATTGGGAATATAATTTAAATGTGTTTGAAATGCAAAGCATACATATCATTTTTTGAGGTTATATCAACCATAGTTAATTTTATAAACATACTTATTCAGCTAATAAGGCATCATAAGATACTTTAACATCTTTATGATAAAAATCTAAAAAATATTTTTTATATCACCATCTGAAAACTTTTGTGGAAGTAATATCTGCAGATTGGTAAGTGCGGCATGATGAATTAAAAACATTAATTTATTTTGGTTATAAATGTATCTAAGAGAGGGGACATTTGTTTTATAATAATCTTCTACTGATCCTATATTAATGTTTTGACGATGAGCTTGCCTGCTGCAAGTCGAGGGGGACAAATATTAAACACGTATAGCTCTGCTTTTGACTCAACAATAACTTATAAAATATAAAATTCTTCTTCTACATTAGCCCTAATTTCCTTGAGTTATAATAAAATGACCTCCGATATTCTCATCTTCTTAATCAAGTAAATGTCATATTTTTGAAAAGTATTACATATAGTTGTATAATTAAATAATACATTCTAATGAGAAAAAAAAATTTGGAATAAGCATTGAATCAAATAATTTTCCTGCTTCTGAGGAAATATTTTTTTAGCACATTGTGATATTTCAGTAATAGCAAATAATCGGCTCTTCTAAATCCATAAAAGGGGTTGGCGATGACATTATTTCTCTTTGGACAAGCTTGCAATTTCTTTCTCCCTGTTGGACAAGGAGTTTCAGAAATAATTATTATTTGACTAGAAATTTGAAATTGGTAGATAAATATTATGCCACTAAAAATTTGAAAATAATAAGTAAATATCACCCCGGAAAACTTGAAATCGAAATTAATTGATAAAATAACTAAGTAGATGAATGTGATAAATAAATGTAATAGGAACAAATATTAACAAATATAAATTAATATAAACAATAATATTTTTGAAAAATATATCAGGCATCTGCATTTTTTGGCTTTGGAGGGAGATTTGTCCCCCCTGTCCCTCACCTGCTGCGTACGCGCCTGTTCTTATTATTTATTTCTTATAATGCATCTAAATTAAAGCCTTTTGAATTTTTCTAATAATACAGTAAAATTTGTGTTTTTTTGTTTTTTAATATTTAGAAACATGCAAAAAGTTGGGATTTTTAATATTATTAATTTTAATTGTATTTATTTGCTTATTGATAATTTTTTAATAAAGAAATGACTATATATTTGGTATAATTCAGATTCAATAAAAAAATTATATTATAGTAAAGGTCTATTCCAGTAATAAAATTCTAGTTTTTAGCGTAATTATTGAAGTATAATTTCAAATTTTGACATTTCTAAACATAAGAATATAGTGATATAGCTTCACACAACGAGGCTGAGCTGAAAAATCTACCTTGACGCGCAAACAAAAAAATTGGCTTAACCTAAAAGCGCGCACACTAAACTCGGCTCAACTTTAAATCTCAAGTCGATATTCGCTCAACTTGGAATGCGAGCCGAAGAAATTGGTTCAGCCTTGGAGTTTAAACAATAAAATAGACTCAACCTTTTAACACGAGCCTAAAAAATTTAACCAGCCTTGGAGTGTAAGCAATTAAAATGACTAGTTAATACATTTCATTTTTATTTTAAAAATTAATATTATGGCAAAAGAAATATTTGATAATAAATTCTGTAATAGAGAATTTTAGTGTATATGTTATTGTAATATTTGGTAATTTAAAGAAAAATAAATATAGTTAAGGAATTAGATTTTAAAAATATTAATCTATAAATATATAACTCATTTTATGAAGTTAAACTTTTACAACTTTTTTAATGTAAATTGGTAATTATATGATTAATTATGTTTAGTAATGATATGAGCTAAGCGCACTTATTAACTTATCTATAGGAATATTAGTTTTTAGTAAACTTTTATTTTTTTTTCCTTATTTTAGTTATGGAACGGCCATGGTCTAGCATATTAAAAATATAAAATTATCATCTTTCATCTTTCCATACACAAAATGTGTAAAAATGATAAAATATTTTCAACTTTCACAATATAGGAATTTTCTTAAAAATTCTAAAAGTATGTGAAAAATAATTATATTTTGTTATCTCCTTAAGCGTTTTATATTATTTACATGTTTACGTTTTCATATCTAGATAATTTAAGATATTATGGTTTAAATTAAAAAGATTAGAAGGTTTAATATTTACAAAAGAAAATGTTATGACCATATTCTCTTATTTTATGATAATTTTACAAAATACCTAATTTATCATGGCCATGATAATAATAGTATTATTTTGCTATAAATTATATATTCATATAAATCATGTTAATTTGTATTAGAAAAGATTAAAATAGTTTAAACACTGAATTTATTATCACTATAATCAGTAGGGCTATGCATATTCAAATTACCTGGTTATTAAATTCAAATAAATTATCAAAAATATCGAGGTTCAGTATTGTAGACTATGTTTTGGATAATTTTACAATTTTATCCCTATCTAATCCTGAACAAATTTTTAATCCAACAATCCTAGCCTCCTTATAATGATTTGTTTTATAGGAAGCTTTGATATTTTAAGATGTTTATGTGGGAAAAATTAGTTGCCAATTCCAAGATATACACCTTGGAAATCATTAAAACCCATCAGCCAGTCCTGAAAAATTTTGGGATTGGCTGGTTAAATCATATTTTTCTGTAAAATTTAGATAAATATAAAATTTTAATATATTTGTTTGAATTTTAAATAAATATTTTGTTTTATAGAGATCATTTAAAATAAATTACAATTTGTTGATTTTTTATATTTTAAGAGGTGTCAAAATATAGTACTAAATCAAATCTATATATATTATAGTAATTTCATAAAAATGAACAATTTATTTGTATAATCCTATTAAAAAAATATAGATATCACACACATTTGATTTATAAAACAATTATGGAAAGATAGATAGTGAAGAGAAATATGAGCTTTAATTGACATTGGGGAAAAATTAGTTGTATATGTGTTTATGAAAATGAATACAAAAAAATTAACATCATGCTGTGATAAACTTTTCATGAAATATTAATGTGCACAATTTAAAAAATAAATATAAATGGTCAAGTTGGGCCAAAATTTAATAAGCTGAGCAACTTTTCATAATCTAAACTTGTCATGTTTTGCATATCTTTAATGCCCATCACACCATTTTAATATTGGCACCACATCTGAATATATATGATGATAAAAGCTTGTTCAAAATCTATACTGAAAAGAAATCTATATTATTTAATATATTTTTTTTTCAACTATTAATGTCATTTATTTTAAAATTAAAAATATATATAGAAATAAAATTAATATTAAAATTAACATATCAAATATAAAATAAAACAATATTATATTATATAAAAACGAAGGTGGGACTACAAATTCCCAAAAAACATGAGTAATTATATTTTAAAATAGTGATTTGAAGGTTTTGTTTTAAAAAATAGAATTCTTTTGGTTTTGATGTAAGGGCTCTTGTCTTATCCCCTGTATTTTTTAAGAACTTTAAAGTTCCGCTTGGCACAAATGATCGGTAAAAATATAATTTGTGAATTTGGAATTCACTGTTCTTCTTGGCTATATCAACTGGATTATAATTTAAATTTTTTGGGAAAGAAGATACGCATGTGAAGTCCAAAATTAAGGATTTCCATAAAGACCAAGGCACGGAAGTTAAGCCATCTGGTCTTAAGCCATCATCTAATGATAAATTTATAGGCTCGAGGATGTTTGGTATTCGGGCCCTGGTAAGAGAACGGTTAATAGCTAAATTAATTGCTGCATGTCTTGCATGCCTGCCTTGAATATATATACAATTTAGACCATGTCTCCCTTTGGAGTCAACTAATATTTTACATTTGATGCATGTATGTGGTTGAACAATGTTACATCCTAGTCGATGGCCTATGACAACTCTTAATTGTTCATCTGATAAGAGGTTACCTAGGTTATGACTTGGTAATGCTTCCAACCATTCATAACCACTAGTACAGTCAGCATTCTGTAATAGTTGAATATACTCCAAAGGGGGGTTTGATGAGATTATTTAAAATTTTTTTTAATTAAAGGTTCATAAATAGATTTGTGTATTAAGATTATGGGTAAGACAGCTTCAGGTGGAACTAAAGATACCCAGACTGTCATGACTGAGTTTAAAAGGTTATCTTTAGGAGAGATAAAAGAAGATATGGCATTATTCATCAAACGCGATGCCAAAAATGAGGAAAGAGATATAAGATTTAAAGGATATAAATATAAACCACCCATTTCCGAGGGTAATTGTGAGAAACTCCAATTAAAATCTTCCAATTTAATATTTAAAATATTTTCTAATAAATATCTAAAAAATTCATGAACACTATTAATAATTTCATTATTTAAAAAAAAGGAAGAGGATCTAAAAATATGTAAAATCTTTGGTAAAAATAAATATTTTTTTTAAAAGAAAAAAGCTCTGATGTGAAGGAAATTCGTTTAAAATAGTTTCAAGTCCTAATAAGCCTCCGAAAAATTTTTCCATGAACACCTCTCAGTTGGAAAAACTGCTTAAAGGTGAACCTAGAAGATTAATTTCACTTTTTTTAATGATTTTAAACCCTTGGACTTTGAGAGTATTTGAATTTAAAAGGCATATTTCAGATTTAGCTTTATTTAGAGTAAGGCCTATGTTTAGAGAATTCTTCTCTATATATTCTATCGCTATCATCATCTAGATACCATATGTTTAAAATTAAAAAAGGATTTTAGACAATGAACTAGGTTAAGTATACCTAAACTAAAGATCAGAGGGCCCAAAGGGTCTCCTTGTTGAATACCTTCGTCAGAAGGAATTGTATATTCCCCGAATTTGAGAGGAGTTCTACAGCCATATTCGTGTTTGCATTTTCTAAAGATTCTCTTTGAAATTCAATATATCCAAAAAAAAGCATTGTATAAAAAGTATTTTTTTTTTATTTTCAGATAAGAAAAAATTTGTTTTAAATGAATATGCCACTTATTAAATTAATTAACAAAATTAAACCCTTTTTTTAATTTTAAAAATTGCAGTTTTATAAATCATATAACTACATATTTGTAATCCTATTGATTTAAAAATATGAAATAGTGTTTGCAATGGTCCGGCCCCATCTGGTCCAGTCCTTTTATTCTAAAACTGGACTGATAGACCGTTAAGTCAAGTGAGGCCAGACCATGGAACCGTCTGTTTGGTCCAGTTGGTCCTGTTTCGTCTAAAAAAAATTTTTTTTGTTAAGCCATATTTATTCTGCATGAAATTTATTAAAAATATAAAACATGTTAAATTACCAATATTTTAATTATATCATCAAATCATTTTTATCATATTGATTAAACCAAATACAAGTTTATTGAATATAATTTAAATCAATTTGATTAGCATATTTAATTAAATTTTTGTTTTTGAATGTGATAGATATTTGGTTATAAAATAAAACTGATTTATAAATATAATATTCTAATTATTTTTCTAAAAAAAATCAAAAATAATTCCATTTTTTTACCCATTCAATACCAATACAATATTTCGTTAATCTCTGGATTTTTATAGTTTCCAACCCTAAATCATAACTATAAGCAGGTTTATTATTTGATGAAGTTTTTATTCATTTATTTTAAAATTTTGAGCTCTTAATATGATATATATGCGTAATTTACTTGTGCTTGGAATCGGAAATATCTGGAGACATATTTTACATGTTTTCTCAGAATTATCCTTTCAAAAAATTTATATAATTCTTTAACATATTTTCAAATTTGAATTTGATCGATTTTTTTTATTTGCACTACTAATACTCTTTTCTAAATCAATAGCTATTCCTTGGCTGAGGGTGGTAATTTTCTTTCTTTCTTTCTTTCTTTCTTTCTTTCTTTCTTTCTTTCTTTCTTTCTTTCTTTCTTTCTTTCTTTCTTTCTTTCTTTCTTTCTTTCTTTCTTTCTTTCTTTCTTTCTTTCTTTCTTTCTTTCTTTCTTTCTTTCTTTCTTTCTTTCTTTCTTTCTTTCTTTCTTTCTTTCTTTCTTTCTTTCTTTCTTTCTTTCTTTCTTTCTTTCTTTCTTTCTTTCTTTCTTTCTTTCTTTCTTTCTTTCTTTCTTTCTTTCTTTCTTTCTTTCTTTCTTTCTTTCTTTCTTTCTTTCTTTCTTTCTTTCTTTCTTTCTTTCAATCAATCACGCCTGAAGATTTTGCTCATAGAAGGAACAAAGGTCGAGTCATATATTATAGAAATATCGAGGTTTAGGCATTATCTGGCTAAAGAATTGAGTTCCTTTTAAAAAAACGCCTGTTAAACGAGCCGTTTAACAACACTAAGTGTGGGGGTAGATTTTGGAGGGGAGGGGCTTGTCTGGAACAAAGTTGCTGACAGATAGACATTGACTGTTGGGCCTAACTTAAAAAAATCCCAAATTTTCCCAGACACCTTCCCATGTCGAAAATCTTATAACAAGAATTTAGGGCATTCGCAACTTAATTTTTTTTTAAAAATTCTCATAGATTCTTCTCGAACGCTTTTTTCAATTCATCACCATCACCCAAATCACCCATCTACCATCCTTCGCAAATATTATCCTCCTCTAGGTAGTACCCACATTCGTGTCCTACACATGAAACGCAAGTTGTACCAGGACATGTGGAAGGCATGGCCCCTGTATTACAGGCTCCCCATTAGTATCATAATAGTATACACACTTTATAAGCAGTGCGATAACGCCATCTACAAATATCGAAAGACACGAAAAGAAAAATCTTCCTCCAGGAACGCCACTGGCTTTAGAAACGAGAGCGACGTTGACGAGGATGAGATAAGAACTTTGGAAGACGAAGTTAAGCTAGCTTACCGTTGGCAAGTAATATATAATATAGAATTAGATATATATTTTAATTCAACTGTCACTCTTAAAGTTAACCCGAGTCCTGGAATAACTAAATTACCCCTAAGGAAACAAATTCATTACCTATTATACAAGTGTTATTATTTTATGCCCTACCACTTTTTAAAAACCGGCTCACATCTGTTCGATAATTTCGGGTAACATTTTTCTTTAAAAAATTCTTTTGACTATAATGCAATATTCTAATCTTCGGAATTCGTATATAACTTCAATTTATTGATTTAATGACGCGCACAAGTTGAGCGTTTAAACGCTGCGTCGCTTGCGCAAATAACGCATTTCAGATGGCCGCGTGTAAAATCGGTAAAATTACCGTTTGGCGTTAGCAACCATTTAATAAAACGCAAATAGGTTGGTTTGCTTTATTTGCATTCACTTTATAATATTAATATAAAAATGTAATAATAAATAACTTACTTATAATCCCTAAAAAAAAAAGGGAATATTTAGAAAATTAAAAGAAATAAGAATGCAGACGATAATATTAATTTTCAAACGACAAATTTTATCCTTGAACTTATTTAGAAACTTATTTGAATCGACGATATTAATAAAAGAGGGCAACCTCAAGTTTAAACAAGGTGACGCGTTACGTTTTTTATTTATTTAAAAATTACGGCAAAACGTAAACGCTCAATTTGTGTGCACTATAGGGCTTTCTAGTTATATTTATATTTTTAAGGATGCACCAATATTTTTTTAATCAGATCGGGTCTGGCCGATTTTTCGTCTTTCTTTTAAATATCGGTTTTAGGCCGATACGCTTAAATTTACCGATTAGATCCGATAAAATGGCGTCTTAATTAATAAATCTTTTTTTTAAAATTAATTAATATTTTAAGAAAATATTAATTTTTATATAAATTTGAAGAGCCGTAATATATTTTTTATTAAAAAAAAACTAACAATAAATTAAAAACGTTATAAATTAACATAACTAACTTTTAAAAAGAATATATATAATTTTAAAACCAATGACTAGACGAGATTCTCATTTTTACGAATCTAGGAAAATAATTCATCCGAAATAATAAATCCCCGTTTTTTTAAGATACTAAAAAATATAACAAAATTAATATAAATAACCATGGAATGAAAATCCCTACAATATAATCTCCATGGGAATAAAAATTTTGAGAATAATCATATTTCGGAAGAATTATTATTGGGGATGATTATTTCCGGGAATTATTGGGATATCTGTTTACACGGATAAAAACACTTTTCGCTAACAAAATAGAATTTACAACGATTTTACTATATAAATAAATGATTTATCAATTCTTACATACTTTAATATAACCTAATAAATAATCCTTTTTTAAATGACTTATGTTATGGTATAATTAAAGATAAAAATATATTAAATCATACACGAACAAAATCGGATTAGTTTGGTTATCGGATCGGGTCGGCCTTCGAATAGTCGGTATCGGATACAGCTCAATGGCATATAATCGTGCCTAGACTGACGATGCATTCATTAAAATTGTACGTCATATGAAAACAGCTGGGGACGCCATTTTGATTCCATATATCATTATTAAAAATTTTAAATGAGAGGCCAATTTATCCCTATATCTGACGCAACACTTTATGTAAAGTAATTGCCTGATTCATCGATGATAATAAGCAAGAGCAAGTTATCGATTTATTATAGTGCGCACGAATTGAATATTTTAACGTTGCGTTACAAAACGCAAATAAGGCATTTTAAGTGCATTCGTTTAAATTGGGTAAGTTTGCGTTTTATATTTTAAATTATTGATACGCGTCTTTAAACGCTGCGTTGAATACATTTTGTACGCACTATTAAGTAGTTTTTAACATGAGAATAATGATAATATGGGTTTCCAAAATGGCGGATCCAGCTGATTTGCATTCAACGACGCTTTCAAATGCATTTATGAATGCCTTATCAGTTTAGGTATTATCTATATGTCATTGGATCAGCCTCCAAAAAAGTGGTTTCGGAACACCCTCAATATTTTTTGATAGGATTTTATATGGGATGACTTTATACAGGTAAATGAATATCATGGTTCATAAGTTCTATTTTGTTTCATCCTATTTAGAAACATTAAGGGTTGTCCGATAAAATTTAAACTTGATTAAAATCGCGCAACGATTTTCTTTATTAAACTTGGTGAATATACCTTAAATATAGTAAAATACAAAGACTCTTTGGAATAAACTTGATACTATCTTTGCCTTAACTATCACAATGGAAAAAAAAATATAACATTTTAAAAAATATCTAACAGGGACAAAATTTTTTTACAAATTTTTAAAAATATGGAAAGGGCTTTTCTAGGATAGTGTGAGTCGGAAATCTTGCCGAATATATGCTGCCTTATGTGATACCAGAGACCTGCAGAGGTGCCATTTACACGGCCCGGCCTGGCCTGGATTTTTTTTCATCCCGGTCCTGCTTTTTAAAATTAAATTTCAGGCCGGTACGTGTTCCCGGGCCAAGCTTAGGGCGGGGCCTACCGGTCTCTGTGTGATACCCTTTGCTCATTTCCCTGTATATTTTAATTAAATTTCTAATTTGAAGAAACACAAAAAAATATCTTTGCCAAAAGTTGCTAGGGGTAAATGATAACTTGTAAATTGATTTTTTTTTTGCGGAATTATTGATGCGGTGAATATCTTAGATTTCGCCGGAGAATAAATTCTACGCGAAGGGACAGTTGGTTCATGGAATAAGTATGGTACCATCTTGACTTCTAACACGATTTGATGAGGAAGCAATTTTATCTGTTAAAAAAAAACTTTAAAATTATATTTACTAGGGCGTCGCCTTAGACCGACCTTCTGGAGACCGACCTTCTGGCAGGGGTGAGTGAAGCATGGGAATCACTGGCACTGAATCCGAGATAGCCACTAATCACAAGGCATGAGATATCAATTAAAAAATTTTTTAAAACAATATAGGTATGGGTTAGAGTAGGTAGATTTAAAAAAAATAATTAATGTATCGCCATTATAAATGAGTGTATAATATCAATGGCTCATTTATCGAGCAGGAACAATGATAAATAAAAATTATATGGAAATATTTACTAAAAAATATTATTCAAAATAGTAAGTATATTAGGGGATAAAGACAAAGGGGAACCAATTCTCTCTAGTTATTTTTCATAAGGGAGGATTAAAATAAGAAAAAAAAATAGTATTCCTTGTGGAAAGATATGGAATAAATATTTGAATAATATAAATATCATGCGTGCTATGGTATTGTTATTTTTGTGATAAATGTAAAAATCTTATTTAAATAACAAGAATAGAATACCCCCTATCATAAAAAAATTTAGCAGGAATAAAAAGGAGTTAAGAATAGAGATATATAATTTTAAATTAAATAAAAAAAAATATTGTAATATACATCGGGGTCATTCCATGTCAAATCAATCACTATCGGCCGACCCCTGTCGATTTCGATAAAAAATTGTAGGCTGGTTATATTTCCCATTAGATCATAAACAAAATTTTAGCGCATTAGCAACTATATTAGCGGAGATTAATATTTAAATTTTTAAAATAATGTATACTATATATATATATATTTTTTTTTGTGAGTTATACAAAATAATCGGCAGGAATATTCGAGTATTTTTCGGCCCAACCAAATGACAAGCTTTAATGAAAAAGTAGGATCCTTAAGAATAGATATATAAATTTATTTAAATATTAAGAATAAAGTCTTTGTATACTTTTCTGTGAGTTATACAAAATAATCATCAGGGATAATAGAGCATTATTCGGCCCGATAAAAGGGATAGTATTTAAAAATAAGTAGGATACTTAAGAATAGATATATATAAATTTATTTCCAATTATAAAATAATATCATACTAAGTTGTGTTCCTTTATATATAAACCGGGATTAATCACCTCACAATACACCTAATTGGTTTTAGTTCTCGTCTTATCATTGGTCATAATCTTTAGTTTATGAGAAGAACAAACCCGAGACATAGCCACATATAGATGCCCATGTGAAAAAACAGGATGAGGTAAATAGATGCCAACTTTGTTCAACGTTTGTCCCTGAACTTTACTTATTGCCATGACAAAAGCAGATCTCACGGGAAATTGTAAACTAGAATCAGTTGGAATTAAACTTATTATTAGGAATGAAAATTTTAGTGCTGAGAAAGCTACCAGAAACAAATTCCGCCTAATCTATATTTTGTAGCAAAGAGGTTTTAATCAATTTAGTCCCATTGCTCAAACCAGATGCAGAATTTAAATCACGCATTAAAATTATAGGTACCCAGAACTTTGAGTGAAAGTTTGAGAGGTGATAATCCTGATATACTTAATAAGTTTAAAAATTCAGTGGGATAAAACGTCGCTACTTCCTCGGTTATCGTTTCGTCAGCACTTGTATATATATAATCAAATCCCCAAGAATTTTGTTAATCAATTGAATATTTCTGCAATCGACATTTACGTTTTTAGCAGGATGGCATTTTGAGCAAATGATGCACGGTTAAAGGAGTTATTCTTTTTTTTCTATATCGTAAACAAATAATAAGATCCTTGATATCATTGAAAGGTATAAAACAATCTTCAGGAATTTTTACTTTATCCCTGGAGTAATCAAATGTCTCATAGCCTTTCACCAACTCTTAAAAGATAATTTGAATAAGTCTCATATTAATACCTAACCTTAATGGTAATATATGCCACCATAAATACGCCCTTTTTATGGTTGAGTTAATAATGTCGCATCTTCCATCAGGTTTATAAGATCTCCGCCAAGGATAATAATATTCCCACCAAACGGCTTATTCTATTTCATTATATCCTGGAATGACCTATCCACGACCTCGAATAGACGTATATGCGTCATTAATATTTCGTCCCATATTAAAATTGTCGATTGTCTTATCAATTCAGCTATTTGGTTTGGTAAGGGATATTACACGAGGAACTTTCATGAATATTTAGAGGGATGTTGAAACGTGAATGTGCAGTGCGGCTATTATGAAGAAGGGGTTGAAGCAATGCCAGAAGATGCAACAGCTATTGTAATTTTTGCCTTGAGCTCTTAAGTCATATAATATTGTAATTAATAGAAATGCTTTTCCAGTACCCCCAGGTCCATCTATAAAAAAAAATAAATTATGGGATGGAGAGTAGGGTTAGGACTAAATTTTGGTATAGATAATATTTTGATCACGATTAAATAAATTGTATGCATATCATCAGCATCGTAGGAAGTATCTTCCCGAATAAGGTGGCAATCAACTATAGCAGATGGAGATTGAGAGGATAATAAAGGGATAGACATTCTCAATAAACCCTTAAGAGATTTACCATTTTGGATCAAAATTTGATTGATGTGGCACAGCGCGAGATTTTCGCTGATAGAGCTCTCCGGCTCTGGGATTTTTTCTTAGCAAAATCTTCACAAAGGAAATATTTAAAAGAATGTCATAGAACAACAGGATCTCTAGGCTCACAATATAATAAAAATAACGCGCAATTGATATGGCATATTAAAGGAGAGACCTTCTACCACGTCGAATACATGCATCTTTAAAAATATTACTGACAATTCGATTAAAGGAGCGTAGATCATCAAAACATGTTGGCCAAGCTACATAATTAAGTAAGAGTCTTAAATAAAAAACCTCACCCTCTTTAAGAGAAACTGTGCGTATACCAATAACCTTATCACTACGCCTTTGACGTTTTATCCACTGTTTAGACAGAGAGGTTTCCACACATGATATCTTACAAAATCTGAATAAATATACTGTCTGGCACCTGTATCAAGAGCATTAATTTTAAACCATTCAGTTAATTTTGTACCAGGAATTTTAGTTAAGATATTATTTAAATCAGCATTTGGTTATAAACGGATCAAATTTTGATTAGGTAAATGAAGGTCTAAACGATAGACTGCAGGAGAATGATCCTGCATTTCAAAATCCAGAGTACGCCATAGCGATTCTATAGCGGATATATATCGAGCATCAATGAACTGGGTAGTTTCATCGACATTATTAATGGAAAGAGATGCAGTAGTTCTGTCATGGCCTTTGTAACAATACTTATATAGGTATTTTATGGACTGGACTGAAGAACAAATTTTTACGTTTATATGTGCATTATCTTTTTGTGATAAATGCTTATTATTGGGTATAATCAAACGGTTGTTAAATATAAATCCGTTAAATTTTTATTATAATGTAACGCCGTCATTTTTTCACCATATAAAGGATAACCGTACTTATCAATAGAAAAGGTATCCACGAATGATTTAGGATATTTTTTGAGCATTTTCCATCAATCATGCAGGACTATTAGGAAATGTTATACCACATGGTCCATATGTATTACAATTGCTGATAATCTGGAACAGCATGGGCTCGGTAATTTTGTTAGGAGTCTCAGCCCAAACTACCTCATCATAGCAAAAATTTGATCTTCGATCCAGTCCGTAAAATACCTATATAAGTATTGTTATAAAGGCCATGACAGAGCTACTGCATCTATTTCCATTAATAATGTCGATGAAACTACCCAATTCATTGATGCTCTATATATATCCGCCATAGAATCTCTATGACGTACTCTAGATTATAAAATGCAGGATAATTCTCCTGCAGTCTATCGATTAGACCTTCATATACCCAATTTGATTCTTTTTCAAACAAAAGCTGACTTAAACAATATCTTAACTAAAATTCCTGGTATAAAATTAACGGAATGGTTTAAAATTAATGCTTTTGCTAAGGTGCCAGTCAATATATTTATGCAGATATTGTACGATATTATGTGTGGGAACCTCTCTCTAAACAGTGGATAAAACGTCAAATGGATGGAGATTAGGTTATTGGTCATATACGTACAGTTTCTCCGAAAGTGGGTTAGGTTTTTTATTTAAGTCTCTTGCTTAATTATGTAATGCTTTGAATATATACGCTCCTTTAATGGGATTTTCAGTAATACTTTTAAAGATGCATTTAGTCGACGTAGTATGTTATCTGATGATGTCGAATGGAACCATTGTTTAGAGTAATCTTTAATATGCCATATCAATTGCGCCAGTTATTTTCTGTTATTTTATTACAGTGTGTGCCTAGAGATCCTGTTGTTCTATAGCATTCTTTTAAATATTTCCTTTGTGAAGATGTTGCCAAGAAAAGATGACCACAGCCGGATAGCCTTATCAGCCCAAATCTCACCATTCCTCATCAATCAATGATTCAAAATGGTAAATCTCTTGATTTTTTGGTCATGCCTATCCCTTTTCACTCAATCTCCATCTGCTACATTTGATATTATATGTCACCTTATTTAGGAGGAAACTTCTTACGATACTGATATGCATAAAAAATATTTGGCAAACTACAATTTATTTAATCGTGATCAATATATTATTTATACCAAAATTAAGCCCTTACACTCTACTCCATCCTATAATTTATTCTTTATAGATGGACCTGGGGGTACTGGAAAGGCATTTCTATTAAATACAATATTATATGACTTGAGAGTTCAAGGTAAAATTGCAATAGCTGTTGCATCTTCTGGCATTGCTTCATAATGGCCGCCCTGTACATTCACATTGCAACATCCCTCTAAATATTCATGAAAGTTCCTTATGTAATATCCCTTACCAAAGCAAAATAGCTGTATTGATAAGACAATCGGTAATTATAATATGGGACGAAATATCAATAACGCAGAGACATATATTCGAGGCTATGGTTACGTCATTCGAGGATATAATGAAATTGAATAAACCGTTTGGTGTTAAAATTTTTATTTTTAGCTGATATTTAGAAAATTTTATCTGTTATTAAACGTGCTGGAAGATGCGACATTGTTAATTCAATCTTAAAACTATCGTATTTATAGTCGCATATATTGCTAATAAGGTTAGGTATTAATATGAGACTGTTATAATCTCCCCTCTCAAATAAATCCTTAAATTTTCCTTTAAAAGTTGGTAAAGGCTACGAGACATTTGCTGGCTCCAGGGATAAAATAAAATTCTGAAGATTGTTTTAAAACTTCCAATGATATCGCGGATCTTATTGCTTTTGTTTACGATATAGACAAAGACAATACTTCCTTTAACCTTACATCATTTTCTCAAAATGCTATCCTGACTCTTAAAAACGCAAATGTCCCATTATTAAATTGATTAACAAAATTCCTGGGGATTTGATTTTATATATACAAATGCTGATAAAGCGATACTGATATAACGATAACCCAGAAAGAAGCTACGATTCCACTGAATTTTTTCTTGAAGTATATCAGGATTGCCACTTAACGAACTTTCACTCGGGGTACCTATAATTTTAATGCGTGATTTAAATTCTGCTTCTGGTTAGATCTTGACTAAATTGATTATATCCTCTTTGCGATATATAATTGAGGCGGAATTTGTTTCTGGTAGCTTTCTCAAAACTAAAGTTTTCATTCCTAGAATGAGTTTTATTCCAACTAATTTTGGTTTACCATTTTCTTTTAACCTCCGCCAATTTCCCCTGACACCTGCTTTTGTCATGATAATTAATAAAGTTCAGGGACAAACATTGAACAAAGTTGGCATCTATTTATCTTATCCTGTTTCTTTCACATATTCAGCTATATGGCTATGTCCCGAGTTTAAGATTGTGACCAATGATAAAACAAGAACTGCAACCAGTGGGGTGCATTGTGAGGTTTTATCCGATTAATCCCGGTTTATACAAATAACAATACTTATTATCATATTTGTTTTATAATTTAATAAATTTACATATCTATTTTAAGAAATCCTACTTATTTTAAAGCTGTCCATTTTGTCGGGCCAAACAATATGCCCTTTTATCTGATGAATATTTTATATAACTCAGAAAAATATAGTACATTAATTTTAATATTTAAATTAATTTATATATCTATTCTTAAGGATCTTACTTTTTTTTAATTCTTGCCATTTTGTCAAGCGATGGTCTATTATCCCTGCTGATTATTTTGTATAACTTACAAAAAAATACACATAATATACATTATTTTTATTATTTAAATAATAATTTTATATCTATTCAAAAAAGACTATATTACAATATATTTTTTTATTTAACTAAATTTACATATCTACTCTTAAGGATTATATCTTTTTTAACAATGTTTTATTCCTGCTAATTGTATATACCTCAAAGACGATACGGGATTTTTATTTTTATTATATAAAACTATTCCAAAAAAAACAATACATATTACGATATTTATATTAATTAAATATTGTTCTATATCTATTCAGAAGGATCCTATTTTATAGTATTTTATTTTATCCTACCTTATAAAAATAACTTGAGAATGGGTGCCCTGAACTAGCAATATATATTATTTTGAATAATCCATTTTTAGCATTCTCTCATATCACATTTTTCAAATCATCTGATTTGAGATTTTTAGGCAGAACAAGTTTACTCATCACATTCTTCGTAGACATTCCAACCCAAATGTTTTATAAATTTCGCGTTTTAAGCATAATTAATTATGAATTTCTTATATTTAGAATTGTAAGTTTTGTGTTTATCTTTTTTCATGTAATAACTTGTTTTAGAAAATGACTATAAAATTTTACTAAAATTTATTAATTATTTAAACAGGTATCAATATACAAATTATTGCCTCTTAGGGTAGTTTCACGTTTTTGGGGCTACATAAATAATATAGACTTACCATACTGGTTAAGACAACCATTGCTTCTCACTTATGTCTGGTGCTACAATATTAACCTAAATGAGGCACAAATTGAAGATTTAAATAAATATAAAAACTTGGGACAACTCTTTTGCAGGAAGCTGAAACCAAATGTTAGACCTATAGATGAAGACAGTGATTTAGTAAATTTCAATATATACTATATAATAAACTATAATCTTATAAATAAAATTGTATAAATGATATCTATTTTAGATATCTATATATTTATTTTAAGAATTTAGTTATAATCAACATTCTTTTAATATTTTATAAAATGAAAATACCCAATATGATAACGTATAGCTAAACATAATATAAAAATATTTATCTATAGAATAGAGAAAGGTATGATAATATACCATATTTATATTTAAATTAAATTTTCTTGATCTAAATTTTATTTTTCACAATTTAACATAATTGCTACATTGTTATAATTTTTAGGAATAGCATATTGTATGATTAATTTTTTATTGTACATTTAGATTAACTATATATCTCATATGGTAAAATGACCATTTCATATAATTTCTAATCATTATACCCTAAATAATATAACTGATATTTTTTGATGAGATTTTTATTTTAAAACACAACAAACAATTTTCCTTAAGTATTATTAATTATAAAAAAAATATAAAATTTTACTTACTTTTGATAAAATTTATAATTTTTTTTTTTTATATAATAAAATTAAGATTTAAATTTTTTTTATAAAAAAATTGTTATTTGTTCCAGATTAGTATCTTTAAAAAGTATTAATTCACAAATGATCTAATTCACATTTTTTTTTCATTAATGGATCACCAATTCTTTTATTTTCACAAGTTTTTCCAATATTGATGTATTTTGTTAAAGGGTCTGATTTTGGTCAATTTTTAAAAAATGGCCCAACTAATATTTTAGTCAAAATTATTTTTTGCTCATAGATGGCAGAAATGTTTGGAACCTCTATTGGCCAAATCTTAGAAGTTTACATAATATTATATTGGCCAAAATCTTAATTGGGTCGTTTTTAAAAATTCACTACTTCTCTTCTTTCTATCTTATTTTTTGCACCAATGTCATGCAAAAAAGCGACAAGAAACACTTTTAAAATATTTTACTATTCTCTTTACCAAGGTAATATTTAGTGGATTATAATGAATGATGCTTGGTTGTATTCATTAGGATTTTGAAATGTTTTTTGACAATTGCATACTCTTCCTGACATCCACCCTTTTAGCTGACTTTTCACCCCATCAAGAAGATAATGATCATATTTTTAAACAAAGAGCACAGGGAACTTTTTAAACCTCCATTAGCCACCAGAAGAGGTTGTCACTACTCTACCACATCAAGGCCAAAAATGGGCTTACCCAATTAAACCTGGAAAGCAGCATACAAATAAGATAATGAACGATTAAATTAATCATCTCATAATAGATGGAAAAATGATTACATATAAATGTAACTCATAAAATATTTATTTAAATCCTTTCCATGTTGCAAATAAAATCAATCTGTAATAACAAAATATATCACATTTTTTTAGGCTACAATCTTTTCTTTTTCATAATTAGATTTTTTTATTTTTAAAGATTACTAATAAATTGTTTTTGTCAATTATATATATAATAAAATAAGATATTTTTTATAATATATTAATAAAATCATTAAAAAAACCAACCCAAAAAATAATGTTAATATCGAATCTTCGAGAACATTGGATTGGCCCCATATTTCTTTAAACCGTAAATAACTTAGCTTTTTTCTTTAAATAATGGAATAATATTTTATTAAAACTTACCTACTCACTAATTTCAAAAGAAAAAAAAATTATATTCATAAAAAATTGCTGTAATTGAAAATTTTTATTTTAATGATTTAAGTATTATAGTATAAAATACCCTGTATTTTTTTTAATTATTATTGGTTTCTTAAAATCAAATATATATTTTTTTAACAATAAAAAAAACAAGTGATTTAAAAAAAATAATTTTTTTTAAAATTTTGTTTTCACGAAATTTGCATTAAGATTTTGATAATTTTGGGGTAAAATTTGTCTTCTTCAAAATTTTTTTACTTGCTCCAATGACATATAGTTATACCTAGACCGACGATGCGTTCATAAATAATTTAAAAATTATACATCAATGAGACAGCTGGAGACGCCATTTAGATTACCCATGATTATTAAAAATTTTAAACGAGAGGCCATATTTCTATGTCTGGCGCTAACTTCATTAAAGAATCGCTTGATCATCGAGATGATAAGGAAGCAATTATCAATTTAATTAGTATAGTTTTTAACATGAGAAATAAATGCTATATGGATTACCAAAATGGCGGGTCCAGCTGATTTGCATTCTACGATGCTTTCAAATGCACTAATTATGAACGCATCGTCAGTCTAGGTATTATTATGATTATATGTCATTGGTAACATCATACTTAATTAATAGCAACCTTTTGTATTTGGTAGTTAAGTATCTGCTGTTGAAACGACCCGATTATTTTTTAAGCCAAAATAATATTTACGTAATCGCGAATTTTATAGCTAACGCGTTATGTTCAAGCGGCGCGTCATTTTAACGCGGGATTATTTACAAAATCAAGGACAATATGGAGCTTTATGATGATAACGCTTCGATAAAATTTGGAAAAGAATTGTTGCCATGATGCTATGATAAAAAAAATTATATGCCATACTGCTATAATAATAAAAGCAAAATTACTTTATAAGTTTTTAACGAAAAGCAGAAGATTATTTTTATTAACTTTTTTTTTTAAAAAAAAAGCAGAAGATTATTATTTTTTTAGAAAATGTTTGTTATATAGCAAGAAGATAGATATTATTAAATATTATCTCATTGAAGAATCAGCTTTGAAATAACGAACATAACGCATTTACTATAAATTCAGCGTATGACGCCTCCGAGATTCGGCAAATAGAGGTCCAAACATTTCTGTCATCTATGAGCAAAAAAATATCCAGACCCACGTAATATTATATCGACCGTTAATGGAATAATCGCTCAAAGTTTGACGGATGCTAAAATGGTATCTTTATTCAAACATTACCTTCTTGGTTGGCATTGAAGGAAAAAAAATTTATAACATTAAATCTTCCGATTTTTCGTCTGCTATTAGTATCGTTTGGAAACTTTTTCTTAAAATTTTTGTGATATTTTGAGGGTGAGATTTCAAAAAATTTGCCAACAAGCTTTGTCAATTGCCGTTTTCTCTTCATTAGAATCTCGTCTAGAAATTATATTCAAAGATCATTCTTATAATACCCAGTTCAACATCATTTCTCGAATTCTTCGTGCCAAATAAACTCGACTTGAATTGGAAGCAAATAAACTTTGTCAGGTATTTAATAAACTTATTACAAAAAAATATAGGATTTCTTCTTTATCGCGCTAATTCCAAAACTAGTCGGAGTCTTTATGAACAACCATATCCTTCCATATGGTCCGGCTTTGGGTTATGACAACGTCATTTTTTTTTATCCAACATATCCCTTTGAATTTTATAAGTTCAAGCTAGTGGCACATTTCCAGACGATCTCGCCATATTCCCCTTTATCTTTTCCGACAAAGGAGCTACGCCCATTTTCTTTCTTAGGCTATCCTTGTTCAAACTATCAAGCATGGTGTAGCCTAGAAATCGGGATTAGATAAATATTATTTGAAAAAAATGTATCTTGATACATATACATCTAAAAAAAATGTGTTTATTATAGCAACTGCAATAGAGGGCTTCAATTTGGCGAAATATAGAGTACTAAGTAATATTTATTTGGCCAAAATCTTCATTGATCTTATTTTTTTTTAAAAAAAATATGGAAGTTTTTACCGATACTACTTATAGCAGTTGACCTTTAAACCAGACCCAGGTCCATCTTTTTTAATCGAAAATATATGAATCGAATACAATTCAATGCTCAGGATATTTATCTATAGCCATTTTGTGTGGGGGGGGGCGGCATTGCCCCCGGTAGGCTTCCCGCTTCCCCCCAACGGGCAATACATTCCTGAGTGGAACCCAGATTTCGTTTCGATTGCCGCTAACTGCAATTCTTTCAGCCCAACGTCATATTTTTTCAAAATTTTAAAACCCGACCCGCGATTTGGGCCCACTCTATTTCCGGCGATCTTCATCTTTTAACCGGAATACGCAAATTTGAATTTTGATCGCATCTCTTTTTTTGTTTCGTTCTTTTTTTTTAAAAAAAATATTAAATTATTATAACCTTGAAACGAGAAGGAAAAAAAAATAACTATTTTATATAAATAAAAAATTAACTCCAAAAAAAAAATACACATTAAATTTCGTAACCTTCAAAAATGTAAAGGGAATAAAAAAAAATTAATATTTAGTAGGAAAAAATACTTGATTTTTTGTTGGTGTCAAATAAAACAAAACAAATAGAGCCGATTTACGCCACCGCCACCGCTCACACTAAAATGGTGGGGAAGTAGTTTATTTAGAAGTGAGAAGTCCCGTTGACGTATAATAATACCTAGACCGACGATGCCTTCATGATAACGCTTTTGAAAACGTCGTTGAATGCAAATCAGCTGGACCCGCCATTTTGGTAACACATGTAACAAAAAATAACTACTATTAAATTGATAACTCGCTTCCTTATATTATCTCGATGATCGGCCAATTCCTTCATAAAGTTTGCGTCAGACATAGTAACAAATTGGCCCATCGTTTAAAATTTTTTTAATAATGACATGGGTAACCAGGCGTACCCAGCTGTTTTTCATTGTCGCGCGCTTTTAATGAATGCATCGTCAAGTCTAGCCATCATTATATGTCATTGTCCGAAATACGGAAATACGCCATTTTAATTTCCCGCGTAAGAATCTTTACCTATTTACTCGGGTAAACCCGTAAATTGTGTATCGCCAGCTGATTTGTATCGGATATAAATTTTAAATGAAGGATTCATCAGTCCAGTACAATATTAATCCACCGGATAACACGTGGAGGGGGGGGGGTGCTGAATCGCTAAATTTTTCATCCAAGAAAAGGAAACGCGCGTTTAACTACTAAAGGTTCGGCCCGGTCCCAACTGCCCCGTGTAAATTTTTTACCGGATTTTTTTTGGCTCGGCACTATTTTTAACGGACTTGGCGAGCATAAATATTTTAAACTGGGGCCGGGCAGTTCCGATCAAAAAAAGGAATATCTAGAATGAATATATCAGACCATCGACCATAGACCTGACGATTCATTTATTAAAAGGTGCCCGCAACAACTTTGAAAGTTTAATTGTTGACAGTGCAATTGGACTGTAAATGTAGACGCCATTGATATTTCCTCCTAAATACCCTTCAATGACGGACTTCGATTTATGTACCCCCCCCTCCCCTTTTAATGACAAAATATCAAATTTTTTCTTGTATAAATTATATATTAGATTTCGTCATTTATTTTTTTTTAAAGTATTATTGCTAAAAAAATATATAAAAAAATATAACAATTGGTTTTTTATTACAAAAAAAATATTATTATTTTTCCCATGTAATATTTTTTAGAAGAAATTTTATACACACAAATTTTTTTTTTGTTTTTGTCTCTGCTAGCAATATTTTTTAAAAGACAACGTAGACAGTATACATTTCCACTAATTTTAAATATATATAATCTATTTCCACGAGATATGTATAAATTGGTAATGGCTATATTATGTGGCGACGACTCAATTTTGAATGAGATGCAAAAGCTCAAAATTATTTTTTATACAAGTTTAAAATCACGACATAATGGAATGGATGGCTTAATAATTTAGTCCACGCGCATGTGCCAAAATTTTAAGCCCGGCTCAGCCCCAGAGAGTACATTTTTCGAGCCCCCCAAGGAATACGTAGTTTTATTATTTTTAAATAATTTTTGGACATATCGTAATTTTTTGTATAAATTGTTTCATAGGGAATCGATAAAATGCGGAGCAGTAACTTTACGATTTTACGACTGATTAATATGAAAAACCCGACCCATCTCGGATTACAAATACATTTGATGGATAAATTTTACAATTTTTTTTTTAAAAATTATAAATTCATCGCTTCGAAAACCTTGGCCGCCATTTTATAATTTAACCCCACCTCCCCCCCCCCCCCCCCAGATTTTTAATTTTTTGACAGGGGTACCGTTTTCTATATTTATTCCGGCTTCTATCTGATCCAACAGTTTTTACTATCTGTACACACGTATTAAAATTAATATTTTTCTAACTTTTCCTACTACCCTCTCCGCCCTCTTCTCGTCCACGCAGATCAGTCCCGTCGACGGTAAGGTACTTCATTGCGGCCTGGTGCGGCACGACGACCTTATAGAGCAAGTCAAGGGGGTTAAATATTCGCTCTCCCAATTTTTGGGGCCCGGGTGCGAACGCATACTGGACCTGCACCTCAGGATAAAACGCTTACCGCCTCCTATCCGCAACGCCTCTTCGCCAGACCTGTTGCTCAATACTCCTAAGAGCGATGCCTCCTACGATATAGGTATATTATTTCCTTCCCTTTAGTTTGTATTCTAAAAAAAAACCCGCCAAAATTGATTTTTTTTTTTGAAAATATTATTTGTCCGAAATAGTTTTTGATAAACAGCTCGTTTCGAGCCGATTTATGAAACCGGTCAACTCAATATTTTGGCCAAAAAAATGCCCAAACTTTTGTGCCATTTCTTGTCAAAATCTTCAGGATTGGTTAATATTTTTATTGGGCCAAATATTGAGTTAGCCATTTTTTTAAAATCTGCTCCAAATTGAACCGTTTAACACCGCTAATCCGAAACATTAAAAGTTTGATTGGAGAGAACCTTTAAATCCAATATCACGTGATAAACTTTTTTTTTTTACAATTAAAAAATGTCACCTTTTTAAAATTTTTAGAATTTTTAAAATTTTTTTTCTAAAGTTTTGAAACAAATTTTTCGTTTTCAAAACATCTTCAAATCCCCTTTCCGATAAATAAAAATAAATCTCGAGAAGATGGTTATCTGGATGCCACTTACCACCTGATGTCTGTATTACAGAAACTATTCTTAAAATTATTTATATTTGGGTGGGTTAAATAAAATACATTCGAATTAGGGCCCCAAGAATTTGTATCGACATGGACAATTCTAGGAAGCCCAAGAATTTGTATCGACATGGACAATTCTAGGAAGCCCAAGAATTCGTATCGACATGGACAATTCTAGGCGTTTGTTCGAGTTTGCTTTTCGAAACTCTTTAATAGTTAACGCTTCGAAACACAGCGTTTCAAAACGCAAATAATACATTTTAAAAGACGCGTTCGCTTAAATCGGAGACCATTTTGTTTTTTTTCGTTGTTGTTTTAAATTCGGACGTTTCAAATATTAAAAAAAAAATACGACGCCCGGTACGGATTATTTTTAAAAAATATAATTTATAATAGATAATAATGGCGATTTTAAATTTACGGGCTTGACCCGAGTATTTTTTAGGGTTGGTCCGGGCTGGGTTAATTGAAATAAGGCCCCGCCCGTTTACCCCAGTTTAGGGCTGGGTCTGCCGGTCTCTGATATATTGTATACAAAAAGTAATGTGGCCTGGACTGGGCATTGTGGATCTCTAGTAGTAAGTAGAATGTGTTACCACGACGAGGGGCAATATTGTGTAATATCCAATGACATACATAATGCCTAGACTGACGATTCATTCATTAAAAGGGAACATCGATGCAAATCAACTGGAGACGCCATCTTGGTTACCCGTATCATTATTAACATTTTACAACGAGGAGCCCAATTTATTCCCATATCTGATGCAAACTTTATTAAAGAATTACCGGATCATCGAGATAATAAAGAATCAAGTTATCAATTTAATAGTAGTTTTTAACATGAGAATTATTACTATATGGGTTACCAAAATGTCGGGTCCAGCTGATTTGCTTTTAACGACGCTTAAAAATGCATTTTAATGAATGAATCGTCAGTCTAGGTCTTATATATGTCATTGGTAATATCTCATAAAATATCCTGAAGCTTTTACGGGTCAGGTATTTTTTTTGCAGGCGCTGGATAGCATTTCCGGCCAAATTAGATTTTTCAAATTAAAAAAAACGCGCTTATAATTTGGAAAAAAATAACGGAAATAATTTTGTCCCTCGCGGTATGGTTATTTAACTTTCGAGTTATTTTTAAATTTACATACTAAAATGTGAGAGATTGTTTGAAAATATTGATTAGCCAATCATGTTACATTTAAATAATTATTTGCTACTTAGCTGTTTTACTCATCTATTGTGAGTCAATATATCGGACATGTATAAAACCAGCATGTTAAATCACGTGTCAAGGCGGAACCTACCTTCACTTGTTTTTTTAAAAAAAAAATTACTTTTATGCTATTTTAGACAAGGATACCGATGCCATTTGTGCCTACAACTCACTCACCGTTTCCGACAGCTATAACCCCTTATTGGCTGCCCTAAATATGGATTTCCCCAATTCCAATTCGACGCTCGCGGTCAAACAAGGAAGAGGGAGTTGGGCGTCCATACAGGATTCCGATTTTTACAAGGCTCCCCCAAGCATTTTCAAAGATGACGACGATCATTTTTCCTTCCCTTCCACTCGTTCCATCAGTGCCGAATCTAGGTTTTGCTAAATACTTTTAATTTAAATAACCTATAACACTGGCCAATTACTGAATCGCGTACATTTGTGCGCTGTCCGCATAACGAAACGCTCCTTTATTCACTGATACAAATATAAATATGACGATTAACGAATCTAAGCCCAAATATTTTATTTTGAAAAAATTAATACATTCTTAAATCAATTTATACTTACAAAATGGAATCATGATTTTTTTTTCCTGCGGATTCTAATAAGAAAAAAAAATAGGCACAGGTTCTGCTTCAGGCACCATCGGTATGAATTTAGTTAATGAACAGTTTCTTTCTTTCTTTCTTTTCTTTCTTTCTTTCTTTCTTTCTTTCTTTCTTTCTTTCTTTCTTTCTTTCTTTCTTTCTTTCTTTCTTTCTTTCTTTCTTTCTTTCTTTCTTTCTTTCTTTCTTTCTTTCTTTCTTTCTTTCTTTCTTTCTTTCTTTCTTTCTTTCTTTCTTTCTTTCTTTCTTTCTTTCTTTCTTTCTTTCTTTCTTTCTTTCTTTCTTTCTTTCTTTCCTACTTCCTTCCTTCCTTCCTTCCTTCCTTCCTTCCTTCCTTCCTTCCTTCCTTCCTTCCTTCCTTCCTTCCTTCCTTCCTTCCTTCCTTCCTTCCTTCCTTCCTTCCTTCCTTCCTTCCTTCCTTCCTTCCGAGATTTCGATAATAGATGTTCAAACCTTTGTGCCACCTATGAGTTAAATCTCAAGAACTTGCGTATTTTTTTTTCCGAATAAAATATTGAGTTAGCCGTTTAACAACACTAGCCAAGTAATAATAATTTAAAAACCATTTGTAATGTTGGCGAAGTTTGTCGACAATTATACTCTAATAGAATTATCAACACCATGAAATATCAGAGATTCATCAAATATACATATACTATATGCTTACAATAAAGAATTTACTCGGCCCGGCCCAAAAAACCGGCCCGGCCAAAACCGGCCCGGCCCAAAAACCGGCCCGGCCCAAAAACCGGGCCGGTCATTGCGGATCCCTGATTTTTAATTCTTTATTCGATTTAATAACTTGTCTTATATAAACAAAGTTTGTTTTGTTTTTTTTTAAAAAATCTTGTAAAGTTTTTGTAAATTATTAAAACATTCAAAAATGCTTGATTTAAAATCCCAATAATCTTTATTTTTTTTGTAATCTTGAATAAATCTTGGAAATGATATTTTATATAAATTATCTGCACTTTTGTTAGGGATCGGCGCATCTAAATTTTAGAAAAGGAATTAGAGATCTGCAAAGATAGGCCAGAGTCCGGCCCGGCCCGAACGGGTTTTGAGCCGGGCTAGGGCCTAATTCTATTTAAAATATTCGGGCCAGGTCCGGTCGGATCTTGGAATTTTTTTTTAAATATATCTAAATTTATCAATTTTATATTGAATTTTTTATGTAAAATAAAAATATTTGATTTTATTCATCGAAACTAAACGACATATAACACATGTGTCATTTATTTTGAGTAATTGTAAAGATTAATTTTTATATTTAAATAAATTCTGGCCGGGCTGGGTCGGTAAATTTTTTTCAAAAAAATTTATGTTTTTTAGCTCTCGTGGTAGCATATCTAAATACGATCTCGCCATTCCTCAACAAGAGCTGATTCGCCACTACGACAAAATCTCGAAAAATTCGAGCGCGGAACCGACGACAGATATAACGACCGACATGGAAGATTTGGCGTCTAAGACGGTCGAGCAAATATTGTTGACGACTCAGACCGGCGAAGAGATCGTCAAGAAAACGCGGGACATGCTCTGCCTGTCGCCAGCCAACGAACTCTACTACTGTATAGTTTATCTGGCCCCGGGCGACTACCACGGTTTTCATTCCCCTGTAGATTGGATCGTAATCCATAGGAGGCATTTCCCGGGTTTTTCAATTTTTAAAAATTATTATATTTATTAATTTCTTTTTTGTCATGTGATCGATTGATTTAATTAGAACGAAAGATGGACAAATAAAAAAGAGTTTATTTATTGACTTAGTGGGGGCTAAATCGCTAAACTCCGTCAAACAAATTTATAAAACTCAGCGGTTCATAACCCCGCTTTTTTACAGTTAGTGCGTATTCGCGGTGAAGTATACAAAGCTATTTCTTTTCTATTCCATTCATTTATATATTTGTTAGCGCCAATGTGTTATTTTTTCAACTTCAAATCGATTTATGAGCGACTTTTTTTTTAAAAAAAATATAATGATCTGATTTTACCGGAAATATATGCCGCCAAGTTTGGAATACATACCCTGTGAATTTTAGACTAATTTATCATGAACCTTTAGAACTCTTGATAAATTTATATTTAAATTTCCTATATATTTTTTTATATAACTTATACTCTTCTCTTCTCTTCTCTTCTCTTCTCTTCTCTTCTCTTCTCTTCTCTTCTCTTCTCTTCTCTTCTTCTCTCTCTTCTCTTCTCTTCTCTTCTCTTCTCTTCTCTTCTCTTCTCTTCTCTTCTCTTCTCTTCTCTTCTCTTCTCTTCTCTTCTCTTCTCTTCTCTTCTCTTCTCTTCTCTTCTCTTCTCTTCTCTTCTCTTCTCTTCTCTTCTCTTCTCTTCTCTTCTCTTCTCTTCTCTTCTCTTCTCTTAAGTTGTAAAAAAATGACACATTGCCGGAAAAACACAATAAGTGCTAGTATATATACTTAGACGTGAATTCGCGCTAACTATGAACCCAGTGTAAAGCTGCTTGTACTAGAGTTACGTGGCACCATACCGGTGGCAACATAATCTGTAGAGATCTTAACTTCCTTCCCCCCATTTTTTTATGTCAAATTTAATTTCAACAATTAAAATTACAAATTTTTTAAATATAAAATCAGAATGGAAAAAAAGTATATCAAAAAAAAATTTGATTTATTTTTATGAATAAAAATCACGAATGATTTTATTTACAAACAAAAAAATCGAAATAAATCAAAGTAGAATTTTGATATTTAAGATTTCTTCCCTTTTTTTTTAAAATAAATTTAAATAAATTTGGACCATAAATAGTCCTATTATAGATCTAAAAAAGAATGATTTGCAGTCTCTAGTTAAAAAACCTCATAAATATAGTAGATATAAGAGGACCCGTGTCTCTAAGTAAAAACTCATAAATGGTTAGACAGATAGAATCTTTTCAAAAAGAAGATACGAGAAGGCCTGCGTCTTAGTTAAAACTTCAAAAGAGCAGATATAAAGAGGGCCCCCGCATTTAATTTTCTTTTTATTTCCCCTTTATTTTATATAATGTAATTTTATGACTCAAAATTAAATGCAGGAGAATTGTTCAGCGTATGCCCTAGCATAGTTAGATGGATCCAGGGACTCTTCAATTTCAACGAGAGGGTAGTTTTCACTGGAACATGGAAGTACGGATTTTTCTCTATGGCGGCCGTTGGAGCTACCAACGTCGGTTCCATCAAAATCGGTATCGATAAGGTAACGCTATGCCAACCAAAATTCTCTTATTAAAAAAAAAGAATTAGGTGGACCATTCAATTTCATCCATCATGTATATAGTTGGGTTAATCATGGTACTCCATTTTTATCCGATTCCAAAAAAAATTAGCGTAATCGCATTTTTAACCACGCCTTACCCTCCGGAGTTTCCATCGCAAAAAAATAGCCCACTCCCCTTGAGGCTTAAGAGATTTTGGGGAGCAAGCCTCCCCCCCCCCCTTATCCGTACTTTATATCATATCGGTACATACCTTATTGGTATCGGTATCAGCTGATAGTTTATTGGTACGGGTGGTAACAGTAATGGCTCGATACATTGATATCCAATCCGTTTTGTTTAACTCGACTTTTAATTTTTTTTAATGGTAAAGGATCTCAAGACCAATCTAAAGCGTTGGAAGCCGGGTACCTTTTTCGACAAAATTTTCGAGAAAGAAATAATGCCCCAAAAAGAAAACGTCGACATTTCGACCGACAAGAGTGACAGTCCCGATTTGATCCAAAATTCTGCATCAACGAACAAGGCAAATAATGCTTCTGCTCGAAATGGCGAAAATTACGACGCCAAGTCGCTCATTTATCCCGACGCCGATTCCAGTACCGAAAATTTTTTCGTCCAACGGAAGTTGCTCTCCCAAAATTCTTCCGGCATCTCATCCGAAGATTCTTCCATCAACGCTAGCGAGGACGACAACGGGGGAGGTATCTTCATCAAGAGGGGCCAATATTTTGGCGAGTTCAACCTTGGTTCCACCATCGTGCTGATATTCGAAGCTCCGGCCCATTTTAAGTTTAACCTAGATTTCGATCAAACCTTGAAGATGGGTCAATCTTTGGGAGGTCCAGTCAGACTCTCATGAAGATTTTAAATCATGTTCTTTCTTTCTTTTTTGTGCGGACCTGTGTGGCCTCCCAATGCAATATATTTTCTTTTTTAGAGAACCTCGAATTTCCGTAACCCAACTCGGGTTATTTTTGAATCAGCTGAGAACAATCCCATTTTGTCGATTATCACGTGACTTCTAATATCTACGAATACACTTTTTAACCGCCTTATCAAAAATTTACCCCGCGAAAATATTAATAAACATTTATTTTTTTAAAATAAAAAAAATTATATTAGAATAAAATTCTCTCATCATTCACTACTTTTCTTCCTGTGAAATATTTGCAATAATATTAAAATTTTTTTATTTGTTTCTTAGAATATTTATTTTATTTCTTCATAATATTTATTATTTATTTTTTTTTTTTAGATAATTAAAACATATATTTTTTTTTTGGTTTTAAAACAAGTTATTTTGTTTTTGCCATTTGTCAATCACTGTCAAACTTTAAAAAAAATTTAGTCTATCATTTTATATTAACCCTGTTTATTCCTATAAACGTTAACTATCAATACCCTATTATTTTTAACAATTACCTCCATTTATAAATTACGTCGATTTTATTTTTTTTTAAAATATAAATTCAATTAAAAGTTAGCATAATTTTTATTCACATTTGCTTCTTTTTGTTTAACAACTTTTTCAATGTTGAAAATCATATTTCTAATGATATTTATTTTATTCTTTTCTTTTTTTTCACAAAATTATGAAATATTTTATATGTAATTAAATGTTATTTCCCTCTTAAAACTCGTCCAAAAAGATATAACTATACACTAATCTTAATAGGCACTCTAGAGGAACATGTTGGGATCTAATATAGAAATGGTGAGAGGTTTTGGATCGATTTTCCTTGGGAATACGCTAACAAATGTGAAAAGTTTTTTAAAAACCTTTAATTCATATTTTTAAACTCCCTATTTATATTTTTGCTCACATCTAAAAATGTGATACTTTTGCGTATTCCTCATTCTCTCCTGATCCTTTATAAAAATTTAATTTTTCACGATTACCTTTTCATAGCAATCTTTACTTTTTGTAACTATATAGTTAATGGTAATGGCGGAAAAAAAATATTATATTTGATTTTTGTCAATCAAACTTTAAATATTTATCGAATTTTAATACTAATATGTATTTATTTTATTAATTTTTTAATAGTTTTTTAAAAAAAAATGATATTTTTTTTTTGTAATTTATATTAGTAAAATATTTTTTTGTTTTGTAAAATTTAAAAAGATTTATATTATTAATGCTAATTTTTTTATCATTATTATTATATATTATTATTATTATATAAGAAAGTAAATTTTTTTCATATTATTAAAGAAAAATTTAATTATTTTATTTGAATAAAAGCACACACACAAACACATTCACTTTTTTTCAAACTCAAATTCCTCTATTTCTTCCAAACATCCTTATTATAAATATTATAATTTTATTTTTTTATATAAATAAAACAAGAAGTGTTAAAATTGATCTCGTCTAGTTTCAATTTTTTTTAAAAAACTTTATTGTCTCCCTATATATCGTCGGCTTAGAATTGGAGTGTTCCATTTGCAGTTTAAAAATCAAATGTAGGTGTTATAGTAATTAGAATATTATTATTTGTATTTGTATTAAGTAGTTGGTTTATATAAAATTTGAATAGTTACGGAAAATAGTTTCTCTTTTATATAAAGTTAAATATTAAAATTTGAATAAATTGTTAGTAGTATAAATATAGCGGATAAAAAGATGTAATATTAAGAAGAAAGAAATTGTTGTAAAATTTTAATTTTGCCTTTTTATTTTTATTTTTTGTTATGATTTATTTAATTACAGTTAATATTATTTAATAAAGTATTAATAGATAATTTATTTATTTTTATTCGCTAAATTCTCAACTATAACAGTAAGACAGAGCTATAACTTTGTGCAAAAAATTCAATATTTTTTTTAATGTAGTTTTTATATTTATTTATATATATGTCGTATGGGGTTTCGGAATCCGTGGGGATTCGGAATCTCTCAATTTTAAATCATTTACTAAGGGCGATTTTTGGATTTTAAAAATCTGATTTTACAGGAATTGTATTCCAGCATGTGTAGAGTATTTATCCTATAAATTTCAGCCAATTTTAGCGATAGACATTTTAGTATTTTTTAATTTATATGAAAAATTCATATAAAAATTAATATAAATTAGAAGTAGTTCTAAAGTTCATGGCAAAATTGTTTGAAATTTACAGTTTGGGTACTCTACCCATGCTAGAATACATTTCCGGTTAAATCGAACTTTAAAAATTTTTTAATCGCTCTCGGTAAAGGATTTAAAATCAAGAGATTCCGAATCCCAATACGACATATATATTTGGAATAAATAAGTTACTTATCCACTTCTAACTCAAAAATTTTGAAAATGTCGAGCGGACTACTCCAATTCTAGACCGACGATATGTCAGCGTCAACGTATTATTTTTACGACTTTTGAAATCATTTTTTTGAGCGCGTTATTTTTTTTTTAAATTAAAGTTAAAAATCTGATTTTAAACGGAAATATAATTCCATCGTATTTGGAATAAACTTTCTTATGAATTGTAGACAATTTTGCTGTTCCTTTGAGTCATTTAAATAATATATATATATATATATATATGAAATATGTGGAAAAATTTAATATAAATTTATATTAAGTTTATAAATTCTTGGGAAAATTGTCTTAATTCCACAGGGTTGGTATTCCAAACATTACGGCATACATTTCCGGTAATATCAGATTTCGAAATTTTAAAAAACGCGCTCGAAAAATGATTCAAAGTTGAAAAATATAACACTTTGCCGGAAAAACAGACTCTAACATATATATTGTTTCAAATCGTTGTATTAAAGCCGTCTTGAATTGAGCTGGAATCAAAAACGGCATGACCCGATTTCACGCCGGAAAACCATCACGTAAGCCTAGTTCAATCCTTGAGGTATTTTAAATAATTAATTCGTACCTAGGCTTTATGGTCGATTTTTTTTTATAGCAAAAGATTGATTGTATTATCTCTCATTTCTCAACACTAATGTAATGCTGATATAAGGAGGTCCGTGAAGTTGGCAGAACGATTTGAGGTGAAATTAACAAAAGTTATGCCATTATTTAAAGTCTTAATTGTACCTATTTGCACTTCTATCCGGACATCTACAGAATGAACCGCTCGTGAGTTATGAGTAAAATAAGAAAGTTTTGGCACTTTGCCAAAACCGAAAAAAAAGAAAGAACATGTGTTCTGAAACTTGGCAATAAAGTAGTATTCAATTCGCGCTCTAATATTCTCAAAACCGGATATCCGTATCACTAACCGTAACCGAGTTATACCTCTTTAAAAAGCGTGAAGTTGGCAAGATACAACACAAGGAGAAAAATAATCCCCCTGAGAATTACATTGTTAATACGTATCTTCTTCCGAGAAAACCTACGAATAAACTACTGTCGAGGCAATATAACTTATATCTTTCGTTACATCCTATATAATGTAAAACAAAATTTATTTAGCGCTTAAAATTTGAATTAATCTTTTTTTTAATCTTAAATCTAGAAACAATATTAAAATGATATCTAAGGTAGTGATCTGCATCGGGCCTAAATGTTTCAAGCCCGGCCCGGCCCGAATTTATTTAAATATAGAAATCAATTCTTATAATTTACTCAAAATAAACGATACATGTTATTTGGCGTGTGCTTTCTATAAATAAAATCGCATATTTTTATTTCACATAAAAAATTATACAACATAAAAATTGATAAATTTAAGATATATTTTAAAACCCGGCCCGAATTTTCTTAAAAAATATTTGGTCCTACCCGACCGGAAGCCCGTTCGGGCCGGATATGGGCCGGGCCCATTTTTGCAGATCTCTAATCTAAGGGAGTTTATTATATATGATAGCGTCAATGTGCCATTATTTTTTTTTTTAAACTTTAAAATAATTTTTTGAGCGTATTTTTTTTTAAAAAAAAATTTAAAAATCTGATTTTACCGGAAGTGTATTCCCATCATGTTTGGACTACCTACCCTACATATAAATTTCAGACAATTTTTCCATGAAACTTAATTGTAATTTGTATTAAATTTTCCATGTATATATTTTATTTCTGTAAATTATAAACTACTCAATGACATATACAATACCTAGACTGACGATTCATTCATTATAAAGTGTAACATCAATGCGAATCAGCTGGAGACGCCATCTTGGTTACACTAATCATTTTTTAAAATTTTGAACGAGAGCTTAATTATTTCCTATATCTGACGCAAACTTTATAAAAGAATTACCGGATCATCGAGATGAAAAGGAAGCAAGTTATCAATTTAATAGTAGTTTTTAAACATGAGAATAATTTACCATAGTGTGGTACCAAAATGGCAGGTCCAGCTAATTTGCTTGTAACGACACTTAAAAATGCATTTAAATGAATGAATGAATCGTCCGTCTAGGTATTATATTTAGCATTGAAATGACTCATGGGTTTAACAGCAAAATTGTCTACGATTCAATCCGATATTTAAATTTTTTAAAAAACGCGCCAAAAAATGATTTAAAAGTGGTAAAAATAATAATACATTGCCGGAAAAAAAACAAATGTATAAAAATAAAAAAAATTAGTTACGCGAATGTATGAAATTTGAATTATAATACTATTTAATGACCAAATATATGATTAAAAAAATATTTTGTTATATAACACATAACAATAATCGTTTCTTGATTTTAAAATATTAACACGGAAAAAATAGACGTTAACGCTAACGTATTATAAAAAAAAGCATAATTAGGATTAACTAGAGGTATATGAAATTATTCTTTAAATTAACAATCAATCAAAAACTTCACTCATGCAAAATAATACAGTAAAAGAAAATAAGATTATAATTACATGTTTTTTTTAAAAAAAAAAATTATTTATTTAAAAATCAAAAAAAAAAGGTTTGATTTAAATCATCAAAAGAAAGAAGCTATTATAAATTGATAACTTGCTTGCTTCCTTATTATCTCGATGATCCGGTAATTCTTTAATAAAGTTGCATCAGATATATGAATAAATTAGGCTCTAGGTTTAAAATTTTAATAATGATTAGTGTAACCAAGATGGCGTCTCCTGCTGATTGATGTACACTTTTTAATGAATGAATCGTTAGTCTTGGTATTATATATGTCATTGATAAATATACTTAAAAATTAGACCATATGTTGTATTACTTCGTCCCCAATGAGTGCTAACTGTCAATGCAGGATTAATAC